GTACCTCTATGTTGATATTTCGGACCACTAGCTCTCGCCACAAGGCCTCTTTAGCCCCTCCCTCCAACGTATATCCTCCTATCACAAACGTATGTGTCTGCCTGCTGTTAGTTACACTGTAGTCTGTGTGACTCATTCTTGTTAAAGAATCGAGTGTAAATGTGTTTCGAGTCCCCACCCAGGACAGCCTAACAGTGTCTGTCATGAATTGTGCTTGCCCTGTGCTAAACCCCCCTAGTGAGATGTAACACTCCAGATACCTGCCTGCCAAAACATATTTCAGGGGTGTGCCTTCATCTATTGCGAGTACAAGTAGTCCTACTGGACACTTGTCTTTAGGTCTCATGTGAGCTGTACCGTACATCCTCCATTGGCTGTGCCCTCCATGTACAGCTAGGGGAAATGTTGTGTGTGGTCCGTCCATAGATCATTTTACTGAGATTGAAATGGGGAACAATATCAGTCCTCGTTGATGTAAATCTGACGTGCACACGTTTTTGCACAAACAATATCAATAAAACATAAGAAACCACATCCTATAAACAGCTACGTGAGTAACAGCAAATTTCCTCTGTCAGCGAAGTACCTGCAGTGAAAGCAAAAGAGCTTTAGATGAGGTATATACATAAAAGAGTGAGAGAAAGACGAATGATGGAAAGATGGCATAAAATAAAGCAAAATTTCTAGCTGGAACATAATCCAGTGCGTGCCTTCACGTGAGCAAACCGTTCTCCATGTCATTGTGCAGTGGTCTCAAGCGGTATGTGCAAGCATATTAAAGCCTTAAAAAGGAAAAGGTAATAATGTAATGCTCAGAACCTTGCCACCCATATTGTATGTTTAATACTCCTGCACATCAACAGAGGCTCGTGGACGCAAGGAGCGTCCAATGCTAATCTATGACTATTCCCTGCACTACCTTATAGACATGCACCAATGCACACATATTAGTAGTAAAGTTATGATGTTGGTCAGGGTTATGTAAACATACTCTTCTTGTGCTGTGTTTAAGAAAAATGCCCCCAACTCTTCGTAAACGTAATGTGGCAGTATAGAGTACTTCATCAATCACCGGACACCACTCTTTATCGGACACCTTCGAATTATCGGACCGCAATGTCTTGTTACCCTACAACTCACTGCAAGGGCAAGGCAGAGTTATATGGCCGTAAGTTCGTCCCTTCGGGAACTAGTATCCGCGTTATTTTACCTAAAATGCGCATGCGAAATCGGTGAACAGACAAGCGCATGCGCACAATTAAGTGGTTTGTTTCTCGTAATTGTCGCCATGAACTGTCTTGCTAACCATGGTATAAATTTGGATGTGTGCGAATCAGAGTTAGAGAGATCCATCACTCGGTCGCTATCAGCAGGTTCTATCTCCAGTGACAACTCCTGGTGCACTCTACTTTGACTCTTTGACTACCATGGACCCCACCTTCTTCAGTCATGTGTTATGCTTCCTACATGTTTTTTAACTTGTCTGTATACATGCCATGCCCGGGCGGGCCATTCAAACATGAACTTTGGGCGTATGCTTTGTGCAAAATTCCGGCTGTTAGTGCACAGCTGTACGACGCCGTACTGCGTGTTCTGCGGTAGTATTATAGTGTTGAGGTTTTATGAGTACATAGCACTGTCTCTTTAGCTTTAATCCCTGTTCAGCGACGAGATACTATCTTGTCTAGACCAGGAGAGGAACTCGACATACTCATGCTCGCCGCAAGCCAACAGTACGAATCCTCGGACGCTCAGCCCACAACCGACAACAGTGCGTCGGCTACGAGACCCGCCCCCACCACAACCGCAGCGTGCTTCGCTCGTTATGCGCTTGCTCCCCAATAGATCCCGTCGTCCGAGGCAGCGGGATCTGCTGAAAATAGATCCCGCGTTTGGACCAATGAAATTGCGCGATTTCAAATTACCGGGATCTAAAACAGGTTATTGCCGTAGAATAATATTTTTTTGCAACACCCTACAATATCAGACGCAGTAGGCTGACTCACCCGACCTGATCTGCTTGCTCTGTGTACCTTGGAGGCACATGAAGCCACTGCGAAGGGTGTGTATCGACTCCCGCATGCTATCTACTACCGTAGCTAACCCGTGTCTGACTCTCTGCGAGCCCAGCCCATCCATTAACGGTACCGCGCATGCGCAGTTCGCCGAGGGTTTGGAGGGGGTAGGTGCCATCAATGCCAAGTCACCAAGACAGTCACATCCTTTGGGTGTGGCGTCTGCAGAGTGAGGTTGTGGAAGACCACCTGTTTTGCAGTTTCACCAGTTTCATGGACTGAAGTGGTTAAAATTTCAATCATTGTCTGCCATAATTGTGTTATAGGCTATATACAAAATAAAATGAGAGAGGAATATATAAAAGGAGTAGAGAAAAAAACTATAAATAGAAGGAAAAAAGGAACAAACATCAAACAAAACAGACAAAAACACTATACCAAACATAAGAAAGAAAGTAAATAATGCTGTCAATAGAAGGGGGGCCAATAGGGAGGAGCCAAAGAGCGGCATTCCCACCCCAGAGAGAGACAGAGCAGCACTGGAAGAGGTGACAAATTGAGTCCGCTGGTGAGACCCCTAAACGCTGGCCTAGGAGGCGACATTTCTGGCCACAATGAGGTGGACTGTGGCTAACTCATGCCACTCAGGCCTCAATGCAAGGGGGATGAAAGGAGATCCCACAGTGCGGCAGTGGGGGTATGAGCTGACATATTTCACTGCATAGCACGTAAGGGGGACATTGATGTCCCTATAGAGAACCCACTCAGATGCCCCAGCGCACCTCGGCAAAGGTGGCAAGCAGGAAGGGAGACTATCAGGGACAACAAGAGAGTGGCGGAGATCTGGTCAACAGGGCGTACAAAGCTTCGGGGCACTGTGCTCGCCCGACGCTATCTTTGTGGACTTTGTTTCCTCCTTTGCCGTACGTTACTACGATCGCTCACTCTTTTAGGGGATGTTTAGCAATTACCTCCTTTCTCTTCCTTTATTCTCACGCTACGCTCCGCTCGCGCGCGTTCTTTCGGTGAAGGAGTGCATGACAAGATTAAGGCCACCCAAAGAACAGCAGCGACACTTTAAACCAGCTCCAGTCAGATATGTGGCATCCACAGAGGTCTTCCAAGGAGTCCCCACTTAATGTTGTCAAAGGATGCAGTGCATGATGACAGGTTAGGGCAACAGAGTAAGGACAGAGTGAAGCAAATTCTAGCGGAGCCGACTGCCAGACCCACCGAGCGTCTCCATTTGGGCATCTTGGAGATCCCTAAACTGACAAGGGTGTCCTGACTTATGGAAACCCTCTTCATGACTGTGGAGGTTCATAAGGAGACAGAACTATAACACACCCGAGAACAAAACCACTATCCGCGACAGGAACACCCCTGGAGAAGAGACGAATAGGGGGTTAAGCATAAGGAGGAATGATAGAAGGAATTTTATCCTGTCAAGCACCACACCGACCACATAAGGCCCCTCAGCCTCAATGTTTCAAACGCCCGCAGAGATCACTCAAAGTACAACAGACAATCCAGTCATCTAGATACCAGAAGTAATGATGAGACCTGAACATTCAGATTGATCTGCTCGAGAATAGGCATCATGCAGGGCGAGGGAAAAACCCAACGGGCCCAGTGGGCAAATTGCTGGACCCGCAGCAGCTGCGAATTAATGTCGTCGCCAAATATAAATAGGCTGGATACCATAGCAACATTCAAGCCAGGCTGACATTGAAGGAATAACGAGACCGAGCCTCAACAAACAGACACTTCAGACTATAGAGTAAAAACATTGGAGAAGTCAAATAGGAGGAAACAGCGGAGAATCGACGAGGAGGGAGCAAAACACGCACAAGAGAAGAGAGAGATCTACCCTAAAATTCCACTTTGACAGCCCTACGAGACGATGTTAGATGACCCCATAATTGATCATGAGAGCTGGTTAGACCGGAACTTCATTGATGCCAGAGAAGCCGCTCCACCCAGACCTCCCTTGACATATTACGTGCTTGGCCAGCTTTAAAGTATCAAGCCCCATTGTGACGACCCCCCCCTTTTAACGGAGCCTGCACGCAAGCACCCGTTTTAGCATACCTCACGGTGAGACTGGATTTAGTTGCACACATATAAATACTAGAGCACACGCAAGTGCCCTTTTCCTTCCCTCGCACTCGCTCTCGAATTGAAGGCGGTGGTTGCCACGGCCATCTCGTAAAAAAGTGCCTCAGGCGCGAAATATTACCCGCGTAAGAGGTAACTACACAAAATAGTGTCCCTCTAAACGCGGCATCTGATTGTCACTTGCGTGTGACGTAGTCTAAAGTAAGATGTAATTCCTACATATCTATATATAGCTGTCCTGTATCACGATATAAGACGGTGCACAGCCCATACAGATGCCCAAAGCATGAATACGCAAATCCTGGTCTCCCGAGTTACAGAGTGCAGTGACACTGTCCCACACACACGGCAAGGTGGCTGATACACTGAGACTTCAGTCCGACATGCAGAGGAATGCACGGCAGAATTGGCTTAGGAACTGGCGATGCTGAAGGTGCCAGGTACTACCCTCATCTTTAGGGAAATGTGTATGAAAACTCCTCTCTTTCCTCCCCTCTCTATCTCCCACCGGCTGCTGGTAGCATTTACTGGCTGAGCAGTCTTGCAATAACTACTCCGTCCTCCACAATGCAGTCCCACGCTTGTTCACGTTCACTGGGGCTGGTCGGCAGGTATGAGTGTGTGCTCTGCAGGTCCAGTTATTCTAGTCTCTAGCCTATCTGAGATGTGGGGACCGTCGGTGAAGGCTAACAGTCATCCACTGCCCCCTCCCTCCCTCTCCTCACAGACCTTGTCTGAGCTACTTCGCTGCTACATCTGCACAGACCCTGCCACTTAAATTTCTGAGGTTCTACTTTCACAATGTACTTGATACTGCATTTTACACAGATGAGTTGGATCATGCTAATGCACTTGGAGTATTAGCTTGCAGCGCTCATGTTTTCTTTTACCATACAGTAAGATACAATACAAGTATATACATGTGTGTATAAAACATTACTGTCGCAGTCATTGTCATGTGTACAAGACGTGATGTGTGGTCAGGTGTGTTTCAATACACGTGACCTACAGTTGCAACTAAGACGGATTGTCGTCTGCATTCATACCAATCTGAGTGTTCAGAGCCTTCCCTGTTATGTTAGTCGATCCCTACAGATACAAGTCAATAAAAACAGTGTGCATCAGTACACACTAGTACAGTTATGACACACAACCCTCGGCGCGCATGCGCAGCGAGGGTTACGGTAGTCGTTCTGTCTGTGTCGACGCTTATTCTGGCACTACATATGTGTCCGTGGCTGGTTTTAAGTGTTAATTTTGACTACAGAACAACTCCGCCCACTCACAGATATGATGTTTCCAGTGATAACTGCCTTCTTGAGGGTGGACCCAAGATCAACCTGACTGGCAGGATACTGGAAATCACATCCACGAACTAACAGACTGTGTGTGTGTGTGTGTGTGTGTGTGTGGGGGGAGGATGATGATAGAGAGTGAAATGGAAAGAGGGAGAGAAGGAGAGAGGTTCAAATGGAAGAAAGGCGGAGGCCTCCGTACAAAACCCAGTCACAAACAGTACCTTAGCTCAGATTTGTGTATGTATGCCTTTCCCAAGTGAACCACTCAACATTCCAACTGTCTCTCCAGGCAAAAATTTACACACCTACATAATATACTTTGCTTGTGGGCATTGCCAAAGGTAGAGGTGCTATCAAAGAAAGGAGAGAGGGGGAGGAGGCGTGTGCATGTCTGGTGTAATACTTGTTTGCCTTCTTGTAGAAAATGTACAGGCTTGTGAAACTCTTGTAAAAATCTTGTAGCACCAACATGTTCGTCTTGTGGATCGTGTATGATGGTACAAGAGATGAGATGAGATGTAATGGGATGGGAAAGACAGAAAGGAAAGGTAAGTAGGAAGAGGAAGGAAGGGTGGAAGAAGTTGGTGAAGGGGTTGGGTTGAGATAAGGGACAACAGATAGAAAACTGAGAGAGAAGAAAGAATTAGGGATGGTGGCGAACCTTCCGGTGGCATTCTCTACCTCAATAGCACTGTTCCCCTGCAGATACATAAAACCAGAGTAATAATTCCCGCTTTCACCCAGGAAGCAACTGAGAATCGACAACTCTCCACACATTCAGTCCCTACACACTCAATGTCGCTTAAATGTACAGTAAAGAGGAATGCAACGCGTCTTTAGCAAGAGAAGTGAGCAGTTTTCATGCGTGTATTTAGAACATTACGGTACGTGCAACAGCTACAGGAAAATCCCGAATTCACACGATAAGGTGGGCTCGCTTCGCTTCCAATAAGAGAGGGGGAAGGGAATGCTGGCTTAATGTAAATACATGTCTCAGCAACTTGGTAACGAGGTAGAAAGGCAAGGCAAAGCAAACAAGTCAACTACACCCAGAACAGCTCATTGAAAAGAAGAAGAGCTGCCCTGGGTGGGATTCGAACCCACGACACATGTATAGTGCTCATAATACACTGTATCTACCTTCTTATCGTGGTCCCATTTGTTGAATATACAGTCAGCGAAAGAAGTAGTCCCACTGCCACTAATCTGAGTGACATGACAAACAAAGACACTGAGTAGGTAGACTAAGAATTTGCTCAAAGCAGTAAAGCCTCAGGGCATCTAAAGGCTTTAGGAAACCACGAGTACATCAACAACACAAAGCCCAGCCCATCAATAAGCAGTACCACATGCACTGCACATGATTAGATAGACTCGTGGATTAGAAGCCTGAGACCCCTTGCGTTGTAGCGTTCCGAGTGCAGCGAGGACGCTACGTGAAGGGCCCGAGGGCTTCTAACGCACGTAGATTTCAACGGACGAGATGCCTTAACTTATTTTAGTACGTACTCCAATTAATGCACACTTGTTTTAACGCGTGCGCGGGGAAACGGCGCTGCGGCACTTACTAAACTCGATGCGAGTTACTACGAGATTTAGTAAACACAGTTTTGTGTGTGCGTACTAAGTACATAATGAATCACCACACACACACACACTACAGCATTTCCTTTCCCCATAATGGCGTTTGTTCTAAACGTATTCAAGTGTCATCTGTTTAAACGGAGCGTTGGTGTATACACATGCTGGACTTTCCTGAATTATTATTTGCAAACAAGTTAAGATGTGAACAACAAACAACGTGTCCTTATTTGTATGTGTGTAGCTCGTAAAAATTCCTCACTGAGACCGCATGCATGCTTATTACGTGTCTACAATATTATTATAGCAGGAATATATTCTAAGGAGAATTGAACTCAAACACACTTTGCATTCAAGAACCTTCGGGATGTATATACACTAGAGAATGTTCATTGAGCGACAACACAGTTTGGGTGCAAAAAATCCATTGGCCTTTCACTAGGAGTTATATATATACCAGCAAAAAAAATCCACAGAAGCTAACCATTATTGTACTAAGTATCACTTTGGAAACAGTGATGACATCGGGTTCTCTCGCTAATACATAATATGAATGGTGGCAATGTACCTTTGCAATCTGATTGGCCGGACCCCAGAAAGCAGAGTTTGAAAACGAGACGGCCCCTTTATTAGCAGCTGTAATCACCACTTGTGTTGAGTCTGCATACTGTAAAAAACATTCAGTAGAATGCATCTAGTACATAGTTACATAGACATCGAGTCAGTGAAATCTACGCGCGTTAGAAGCCCGAGGCCCCTTGCATTGCAGCATTCCAAGCGCAGCGAGGACGCTACGTGAAGGGCCCGAGGAGGGCTTCTAATGCGCGTAGATTTCATGGACGAGATGCCTAACTTACTCCAATTGACGCACACTTGTTATTTCATATGTGGCTATGATCAGTACATTCAGTGAATGATCAATTTTTGCAAACACTAACTGCATGCATAAATACCTGTGTTCCGAATTGAGGGTCGACGAATGCAGTGAACTCTCCGTTTGTGATGAGAATACCCATTGGATCAGAGGCATCCACCTGGACCGAGGCATTGGCCTGAGAGAGAGAGAGAGGGGGGGGGGTAAAAAAATTGATGGTGCATATGCTATTAAAAGCCAGCCTCTTAGTTATCTCAATGTGGGTTTGAATGTGTGATTCCATATATCTACGATATATACGTGTACATTGGGCACTGCACATACACATACCGTAAGATTCTAAATACACACAAAAATTATTTTGCTCGCTAAGATGCCTTGAATTTGTCTTATTATGTATGTATGTATGTACGGATATATGTATGTATGTATGTATGTATGTATGTATGTATGTATGTATGTATGTATGTATGTATGTATGTATGTATGTATGTATGTGCATGCTAGGAATAACACTGGCGTCATAGAGATCCAATCACAGTTGACAGTGAAAGCTTTTCATGCACACGAAACCAGAGTTGTACGCGAAGTGCTGGATAGCACGAGAATTCTTTGAGGTGTTGTATTATAATATAATCACCACTACATTATAGGGTGAACATAATTATGTATGTAATAAACGCAAAAAACTCACAGCCATATCAGCTCCTACAGTAGAACAAGCAGCCATCGCGAAGGAAGATGTCCAGCATGGAAAAAACATAAAATTATCCAACGTCAAAAAGTGACTACAAACACTATTCTGTATTCACTTTAGGAGGGGCGCTTCCAACCCCCTGGAGTTGAACGAACCTTTTAATGCACAGCGACATGACAAGGTTTTAATTAATACGTAATTTGCCAAAAAACATACAATTACCGTAGAGTCAAATTACAAACAGTATAATTATATCCACAACTGCAAGGGAGCACCTCCCACCCCCTTGGAGTTACACATACACCAGGGTTTTTCCGAGGAAAAACAAAGAGCTGCCCTGGGTGGGATTCGAACCCACGACACTCTGCAGTCTAGGCGAGCGCTCTCCAGCAGGCAGAGGCTCAAATCTACAACACAATACAAGGCAAAGGCAAACCTCCACAGCTGTGCCATAGCACAGTAAACTCTCACTTATAGTATGTATGTGAAAACTATGAGGTAGAAAGGCAAAGGCACAACAAACAAATCAACTACATCCAGGACAGCTCTTTCTTTAAGGGATTCAAACCCACGACACTTTGCAGTCTAGGCCGAGTGCTCTACCAACTGAGCTACCAGGGCAACTCAGCTGGTAGGGGTTCGAATCTACAACACAACAAACACAAGGCAAACCTCAAACCACTGTGCCATGGCACAGTATGGTACATATGTACATACAGTACATACTAACCTATCCCCAGGAAGTTTCCATTACAAGAACCCTCTTTGCTGGCGATGAAATGGTAGCCAATGGCGTAGCCAAAGGCAAAGGTGTTCAAGACATACTCCCAGTCAGTTCTGGCAAAGACAAACGCCCGCCCGTGCAACAGTTGCCAGCTCATGAAGGTCACATCACTCGCATACCTCGAGATTTGGGGAGGAGGGGGGAGGGGGAGGGGGAGGGGGGAAGCTTTCTATAAACAGTTGCCTCTGCACTTCATCATTAGCCTACATGTATTGTGCATAACAAAAAATAATATGGTGTTTATATTTTTATTTAGCACATTCTTTGTATCCAGTCGCTGTCACTACAATCTGCGAGTGAACTGAGCCTACCTAGTCGTCTGAATGCGGGGATTTTCTAGCTACAAATTTCATTTAATAATTTGTGACGGGCACTGCACCACGATCTTCTACCTGAGATTCTAAATACACACGAAAAATTAACACCATTCCAAATATGGAGATACACGTGAAAATTGAACTGCTCGGGTTCGCTCGCCCAGAATGTGTGGCATTCGTTCTACTATTATATGTAAAAAAAAACAACTCATGCTTTACTTACATACTACATACATAATATAGAAAGAATGGCTATAAATATCCACAGTACTGACAGTATGCATGTGCCATATAGCACTAAGCATTGCCTTGTTACTTCACTATAAGACTAAGTTTTTGAGTCACGAAATTTGATGTTGGTTACTCAATGCACAGTATGCCATAAGAAAAACAGGTTATGAACATGGGTTACGAGCTAAAAACAATGAAAATGCTGACCAGCACATTCCGTGACTCAAAACTCAGTCGTCTTATATGAACAACAGGTTCCAAGAATTGGTCGATGTAGCAGCTGTTACTGCGTATATTCCAAGCATTGTGCCCACCAACATAATTATGCCACCATGAAAAGATATTTCAGCAAGGTCTTGGGAGATCCCCACAGATGACAACACTGCTCAATAACCCCATACTGCTAATTAGGTTACCCCTGTCTAGTTAGGGCTAATTAGTGGATATGCGTGTACACACATAACTACATACCAGGGATTCCAATGGACATCTTCCACACGTCCAATATCGTATGTCTCATCCACATAGATGCCCTGTCCAGAAAAATGACGTTATAATTTAACACTTTTCATTTAAAATTCACTGCTTGCATTTGTTTACGAGATGGGTCGGCCAGAATAATAATCAATTCAGAAAAAAAAGCAAATCTGCCAAAAAACACTTCCGACGATATTTAATTCTTTTTAAAAGCCTTTGGACGCCATGGGTATGTGCTTAAATAAGCAGAAATTGATGTATAAAGTATTAGCGCCTAGTATTGTAACCCCTATATATATTCTTATGGAGGCTCTGGACACATTTATGTTATGTGTCCGTGGCTGGTTAAGTGTTAATGGTAGGTTTGCAGTGTCAGACTTAAAAGTAACGTGAAAAAAATCTCGCCCGTTTTAAACTTAAAGGGAGTGTTGCAGTATGTAAGGGCTAAATTTAGAAACTGTTACTAAAAATGGAAACTTAATTGCACGCCCTATAGTTTAGCTCTATCTTTTGTATCTAAATTTAATATATAGTGACACATCCCTTTACTGCGTTATTTATTTCGCCAAAGCTTTTCAAATTCTGAACCAATAATATCCAGAAAGAAAAATGTTTATCCAGGATAAGTTATAAGTGTTTAAATGTGAACAATATGATGTAGATAGTCGTACTAACCGTATTAATGGGTTGCCCCTGTATTCTGGCGATGTAATGACGAGCTGCAGCAACCGCCCGAACCGCATTCCAGCAGTTTAGACACTCGATGTCAGTTACTGCGGCGTTGTTACCATGGAGACACAACGACCTGAAAGAAGAGACACTGACACTCAGCAAATACAATTCTGTGGCTAATATTTTTTGCATTGTCGTAATTAAACGTATGAGAGTCACGTAAAAAAATGGATTGACTGACTTCTCCATTATTATTACACATACTTACATAACAGTAGTCTACGACAGAATGAACGAATAGTGAAAGCTTTTTTGTAAGTGTTCCACTATACCACGGATGGAAAGTTCATGTTGCATATGGAGTTTTTAGGTATAGGTTTTAGTTCTGTGCCAAAGTAGGAATAGAGAGACTAGAAAAGGTACAGAGAAAGGCAGAGCACTCTGTGTTCTAGAGAGGGCTCTACCAACTGAGGTACTGAGGCAGCTCAGCTGGCTGGGCCGAATCACTCATACAGAGCAAGGCAGAGCACTCTGTGTTCTAGAGAGGGCTCTACCAACTGAGCTACTGAGGCAGCTCAGCTGGCTGGGCCGAATCACTCATACAGAGCAAGGCAGAGCACTCTGTGTTCTAGAGAGGGCTCTACCAACTGAGCTACTGAGGCAGCTCAGTTGGCTAGGCTGAATCACTCATACAGAGCAAGGCAGAGCACTCTGTGTTCTAGAGAGGGCTCAGCTGGCTGGGCTGAACACTCATACAGAGCAAGGCAGAGCACTCTGTGTTCTAGAGAGAACTGAGTTACTGAATCACCAGAATTATGAAGCCAACAGCTGTAAATGTAATGGGTATTGATTCAGCAGAGCTCACAAAAGTGTGCAGAGCTTGTACCAATGCCAACAACAAAAGCAAATACCACAATCATAATGTACACACTATACTATCTCTACTGCATGTGTGCATATGTATGTATGCATATATACTGCATTGCAATAAGGCTGTGACCGCAAAGTGGCAGCAAAAGCAAACGATACTTTCCTGATGCTATTGAAAGTCAATGGAGTGGAATGCCTATATATGTACAGCAGTAATCAGGACATCAAAGATGAGAGTGTCTTGATCCCATAACATTAGCCATAATATATGCACACAAACACACAGACAGTTGTTAAGATCGTACAGTTTAACGACATACGATAAAAAAAAACGACTATTCGTACGTAATACACACGATGGAACAATTTGACGACATGGGATAAAATTGAGCCGAAAAAAACAGACTATTTACGTACTACATTCGCTCTGCTTGTTCAATGAAAAGCACTGAAGTGCAAACCTTTGCCGCATTACGCATGTGCGGTACCACTAATTGATGGGTTGGGCTATGAGTATTATTCGTGGTTTCCACGCTAGCAGACGACACAGGTGACCCGCTCTGGGAAAAGGTACCAATTCAAAATTGCGTTACGCTATAAATATGAAACGACTATTAGGTGGCTCGCTCCGCTCGTTCAATAACAGACCAGGGGTAAGGCTGGGGGACTTGCTGGGGTAGCTGGTCGGGATAGAATATAGTGAGCCCTGCCACAGTGGTGTCCTCAGATAGCTCAATGAAACAACCGTCTTCACTTCCCCTTCCTCCTGATGGCAGGAGAACAGAGCCAACTGCACAGAGTGGAGGAGACGGAGACCACATGAAAAATGGAATATACATATAAGGGCTAAATTTAGACTAAAAACAGAACTTGACTGCATTCTTTCATTTTGCCCCTATTGCTTTGTTCTATATACGTAGCATGGATTAACCATTATCCATGGAGTGCGAAAACTAAGGTTGAAAAAAGATAGCTGAATGCTTTACCCCATTTCCAAGTTAAGAGGTACAGATATACACTTTCCTTACCATCAGGTTTGGAGCCATCATGCACTCCATGCGATGGCACAGTACTGCAGAGGAAACAGTAAATAATAGTCAGACAATGAGTACATACGTGAAATCCATGTACACACCTCTTGTAGAGTGTTTACACCCAATAGTAAGGGAAGGTGTGGAAAAGCCACAGAGAATAGAAAACCAGAAGTCACCCTCCTCCCCCCATCCTCCACACAAGTATATATATACATACACAGACACAAACAACATGTACACCTCTTGTAGAGTGTTTACACCCAATAGTAAGGAAAGGTGAGGAAAAGCCACAGAGAGAAAGAAAACCAGAAGTCACCCTCAACCCCCCCATCCTCCACCCAAGTATTATACACATACACAAACAACATGTATACCTCTTTACACCCTATAGTAAGGAAAGGTGTGGAAAAGAGGCGTTAACACAAACACAAATAGAAGTCCATAAAGTCACGACAGCAATGGGGACAAAGTGCGCTTCTCTTCCGGAAAACGTGGTATCAGGTATCAAGGCATGACCATGTACAGCTATGTATGTATGTACACACATATGTAGTATGTATGTATGTACACACATATGTAGTATGTATGTATGTACACACATAGTACATATGTACTATGACCGACAGGTAACAGAGAGTATCCTGTAATTAAGAGTGTAGTGGCCTTTTAAACCCTGTTGGGAGAGTGCGGAATCTCAGCCGTTTAACATGTACATACAAGTATTATAGTGCCACCTGTGTCAACAGCAAGGTGTAATGGCAAAGGTAAACCAAGCAACACAACTGCACCTCTTTCCGGGAAAAGGAAGCTGCTATATACTGCTACATTCCCTTTAAGTATTTCAAGATAACATGGAGGCGAGCTACAACTAAACTATGGATTCGTGGCACTGATCTCTAGGCTAGCTGAGTTGCCAGCTCAGGAGGTACAGGGTTCAAATCTTCAACACAAGACTGCTATGGCACAGTATACTCTCACTCAGCATGTCTCAACAACTTGGCAACGAGGTAGAAAGGCAAAGCAAGGCAAACAAGTCAACTACACCCAGGACAGCTCTTTCTTTTCAAAGAAAAGAAGATGAGCTTCCCTGGGTGGGATTATAATTATACCTGTATGTTCCCTGGAGAGTGGCTCCTCTGGGAACTGTGAGAGTGGAATTCTGAAGAAAGGCAAACTGCCCTGGAGGAACAAAGACTAGGAGGGAGGAGAGAGGGGGGGAGGGAGCAGGGAGAGAGGGAGGGAGGGAGGGAGGAGGGAGCAGGGAGAGAGGTAGGGTAGAGAGGGAGGGAGGGAGGGAGGAGACAGGGAGAGGAGGGAGAAGAGGGAGAGATGTAAGGAAGGAGAGAAGGAAGGGATAGATGGGACGAGTGCAAATATCCTCAAGATGTGATAATATTAGCCAAAAACCAGGACATGGGAAACCCAAAACCTCTTTTGAAGAAACAAAAAATTACAAGAAGCAAACAACAGCTCGCGTGTATATTATGATCTGGCCCTTGATCTGTATGAATCAATTATACTCTTGGCCAGGACAGCTGGGCTGCTTTGGTAAAAACTAAGTCACTGCCTTGTATCCAAACACCAAGAGCGTTCGTCCAACTACATAAATTGCATCATTCACTGTAATAGTGTATCAGCCCAGCCAGCTGAGCTGCCTCAGTTGGTAGAGCCCTCTCTAGAACACAGAGTGCTCTGCCATGCTCTGTATGAGTGATTCGGCCCAGCCAGCTGAGCTGTCTCAGTAGCTCAGTTGGTAGAGCCCTCTCTAGAACACAGAGTGCTCTGCCTTGCTCTGTATGAGTGATTCGGCCCAGCCAGCTGAGCTGTCTCAGTAGCTCAGTTGGTAGAGCCCTCTCTAGAACACAGAGTGCTCTGCCATGCTCTGTATGAGTGATTCGGCCCAGCCAGCTGAGCTGTCTCAGTAGCTCAGTTGGTAGAGCCCTCTCTAGAACACAGAGTGCTCTGCCATGCTCTGTATGAGTGATTCGGCCCAGCCAGCTGAGCTGTCTCAGTAGCTCAGTTGGTAGAGCCCTCTCTAGAACACAGAGTGCTCTGCCTTGCTCTGTATGAGTGATTCAGCCCAGCCAGCTGAACCACCTCAATTGGTAGAGACTCTCTAGACCCTGTTTACGACAGCCACACAGCGCGTTATGTTTATACTTAGAGAAAATTTAATTTGGACAACGGCCAATACTGGCAAAGGCAACATATATACACATACAGCACATTGCAGGGTAACTTGCCAACAGATCAACAAAGACTGGGGAGGGAGCAAATATTGTGTTCACTTAATGTCCTTGTATTCTGGCATGGTTACTGGATGAGCCAATGTGTATGGGCTGGCCTTCCTATGTAAGCATATCCTGACAACAGTGTGTCCTGACTAGCAAGGGTGCACTGAGCCTTGACTTTATTCTGAGATCAGGACACCTCACTAATCTTACTTATGTATGTACATAGGACATCAGAACACACCTACATTGGGACACTTTCCGTTTTGAAGAAAAAACTTACTCTTCTGCAAGTCTGCAAGTGGAACCTCCAACCAAGGGACACTATGGGGCCAACGATTTTGTCCCTTGTAGAGAGGTCGTCCCTATCCCGGAGGTCAAATAATACACTAAAGTATTAGCATGGGGTTGAAACAAGTGTCCCTTGTAGAGAGGTCGTCCCTATCTCAGAGGTCATATAATACACTAAAGTATTAGCATGGGGTTGAAACAAGCGTCATTTGTAGAGAGGTCGTCCCTACGTATATCTCAGAGGTCAAATAATACACTAAAGTATTAGCATGGGGTTGAAACAAGCGTCATTTGTAGAGAGGTCGTCCATATCTCAGAGGTCAAATTATACATTAACATTCCACTGTATATTATAATAATGTACATATATATTACTGACCAATTCCACCAGTTGCGGCCGCATTGAGAGCATTTTGAAATGCCTTAAAGTCGTCCGTCTTTCCATCGCCCACCGCTCCAAAGTCCAGAACTAGAGAGTTGGTGGAGAGAAAAGAAGGAAGGAAGAGAAAAGGAGATCCGGGGGAAGTAGGGGTGGAGAGGGAAGTGGTGCAAAAGGAAGAAAGAGAGAAAGAGGAAAGAAGAAGGGTACTTAAACTTTATTATATTATAATACTGGGGTGCTATTTGTTGGGTATCCCTAGGCAACCGACATGTATGAAGCTGGGTACTGGGGGATTTTTATCAGCCTATACAATCCTACATGTGCAAGCAGGGTTCATACATGTCATTTGCCTAGGGATGTCCAACAAATCTGTTGGAGTGCCCAGACAGGACAGCATGAGCCCTGTAAGGGCGTATAATCCTTTTATCCTTTATCATTATACTGAGAAGCAAGTTGTATAATTATACTGGCTTACCATGGGAAGTATATAGCTACACACACTGTTATCATATAGCCACCACCAGTATACATAGCAGTCAAGGGTCCCTTGAAAAATATAAATTTCAAGCCTCTTGGTTCAAAGGTTACCAATACACCCCCAAAAATTAAATTATTTTGCTGTATATACACATAATTAAACACAACCATTTGGATAATCTGCTGTTAAGAGTTCAAAGATCTAGGGCTCTTGTGTACTTTAGTGGGAAGTGGCTGAAAAGGAATCTTTGGGTAGGGGAGAAAATGTATTTTTACTGGTTTGGGTGTTCATAAAGTGTGTGCTGTGGGGCATGGTTCAGTAAAATGAGCCCAATACTGACATAGGTCAGCTGTCTCAAGTATTGCTACATACAGTATGTATTAAGATGAAGTAATGAGCATGGTATGTAGATAGACACCATATATATAGTGACTGAGCCAAAATCAACAACCTTTGGATCTATCTTTCGTAATGCGCACGTCTTACACGTGCGTGTGTGCTTCAGTTACACTTAGGAATGTCGATTATTCACGCTCCAGAGGTGCAATCGGTAACCAAAGAACTAAAGACTAGACACTTAACACTTAACCAGCCGCGGACACGTGTCCAGAGCCTTCATAAGTCTGCAAGAATTTATATGGAGGTTGTACTAGATGTTAATACTTTATACATCAATTTCTGCTTATTTAAGCAGATCCCATGGCTTCCAAAGGGTTAAGAACCTCCATAGGCCGTGTAACTCTATCAGGCAAGGGCAGAATGGCTGGGAGAAATATGTGAACATTAACGACGCTACAATTATGAGGTTGGAAGGCAAATGGAAAGTCGAGGACAAAGAGACTCGAGCAGCTCTGGGTGAGATTCAAATCCACCACATTGCTCTCTAGGTTATGTACACTATTGAGGTAGCTCAGCTGGCTGGGCTGAATCACTCATACAGAGCAAGGCAGAGCACTCTGTGTTCTAGAGAGGGCTCTACCAACTGAGCTACTGAGGCAGCTCAGCTGGCTGGACTGATACGCTATTACAGTGAATGATGCAATTTATGTAGTTGGACAAATGTTTTTATAATGTCTCTTGATGTTTTTAGTTCAGCCAATAGAGGTATATAGCTATATACCAGGGCAGCTCTACGAGTTATGTAATGCGCTGTCACAAATATTCGAGCAAGCCTCAGAGAGGGCATTCCTACTACCATCCCATACAGTAATTGAGAGGGCAGGTGTGTGGGAGTAAGGGAACGTATTAGAGGACTCTACATACCTTAAATAGTCCACATACAATGTATATACAACATACGTGGGTCAATAGTCCGTAGCATTTACTTTTAAGCTACGGTCATCGACCTCGTTAACTGCTATTTGTAAGTACGTAAGGGAATGGGAATTTGTACTTTGTAGCCAAGTGAGGCATTTGGGATCCATACTTTTGTTGTACGTACACGATAATGCATGTCTCAACAACTTGGTAACGAGGTATATAGAATGGCAAGGCAAGGCAAACAAGTCAACTACACCCAACCCAGGACAGCTCTTTCTTTTCAAGAGCTGTCCTGGGTGGGATTCGAACCCACGGCACTCTGCAGTCTAGGCGAGCGAGAATATTTGTATGACCACCTGTACAAACTATGTATACCACTACCACTATAGTATGCTCAAAATCTTGTTAGTCTCAGCTCTCTCAGTATTCATAGCGAAAAGAGCTGCATCTGAGTATAGATATGATCTGACACCATAACAATCGCTGAGCAAAGCAAGTGTAACCGGTGTCGTCTGAATGCGAGATTTTTGATCTAATACTGTCACTCACAGTTACAGTACAGTCCTACGTGACTCTAAACGCACCGCAATAAGTGCAAAATTTCTGCATGTCTCAACAACTTGGTAACGAGGTAGAAAGGCAAGGCAAGGCAAACAAGTCAACTATATACACACCCAGGACAACTCAAAGAAAAGAAGAAGGAGTTGCACAATGTATGTGTATATGTTTGTCTCAACAACTTGGTAACGAGGTAGAAAGGCAAGGCAAGGCAAACAAGTCAACACCAGTGATTCACGTGTTCACTCGCCAAAAATGTGCAGCGTTGCATTCACTCTAATTACTACATCCCACAGCTATTATTGGGCATGCCAGAATCTCCTCTTGGTTCAATAAACTCGATTTTTAATGCAAAGTGACCATTGTACGTAGGATATTACTTTTCTTAAAGATAATTGGCAGTAATACGTACGTAAGGGCTAAATTTAGAAATGTTACTAAAGATAGAACAAAACAATAGGGGTATATGCAGCGAAAGAATGCAATTGAGTTTCGTTTTTAGTAAAATTTAGCCCTTTTGTACTGCCACGTTCCCTTTAAAAATGGCCCCTTCAAAATGTATGGGCAAGATGTATCCCAGCTGACCTTCTGGTGGGATTGACAACTTCAAGTCAGCAACAAGCTAGATGGTTGGTATATAGATATGAGAGGCCCCTTGCAATAATGTTTAGCCACCCCGGTTCTTACTTCATATAAACCATAGACAATGGAATACGAGAAGGGGGCGGGGCTAGGGACTAGACTAAACTAGACAATAGAAAGACAATGGGAATACGAAAACATGTACTTCTGTGAGGTAAACAGTGATTTATATATAGTAATGACCCCAAGTATAATTATACATATATTGACGACCCTTTCATGAACGTATGGACCCAGACATGTATGCCCACAGTCCATGAGAGGTCGAATTCACAGCCAAGAACAACTGAATCCCGCACATATTATATTATACCGTTGAAAATTGAGAAATTGGCCGAGGTTCCGTAGATGTTGTGCTGGTGGGCTCCGGATGTCGCAGCCGTAGGGTACATAGCCTGGTAATTGGCCCACACATCACGTCGCGGTCTGAGGTTTTCTGCACGCGGAGACGGCTGGCGTCCGGCCTGCGTACGAGACAGTCCAAATGCAGGGTTAGTATTCCACAGCAACAAAAGGAGACACGTCAGGAAGCCGTAGACGGAGGCCATGTCAATTTCTACTGTCGGATGAGCTTACTGGCAACTCAAAACATCGCTAGACCTCAGAATCATGATGATCACTTGCCTTGTGCTGCGCACTATTTGGAATCACCAGCGCCCTTAACTACGTGCGCATGCGCAAAAGGAAATAGTATTTTAGCGAATGCATGCATGGAATCTGCAATGATGCCGATAATTTGGTCGTGAATAAACTTGAGTACACGGGTGCTACCCTTTTCCTATATATCTGCAAACCTGAGCGAGCCCAGTGCACTGCTGCTGGAGGGAACGCTTCCAGTCAGCGACTAGTTACACTTTGGCGCGGCAGAACCTCGACCGGTAGTCTTTGTCCAAGTTGGGAGCCGTGTCGGCCCGTCGTGCTCGTGGGAGCATAATCTGTCGCCCCCCCCAAAGTCCAGGGAGTCCGCTAATCCTGTAATCCTACGCTACTGCGAATACTTCAGTTTCGACGCTGTAGACTGTCCAGACGGAGCTACCTATACCTTCTTACCTCCCACACCTCAGCGGTCAACGAACACACTCACCCACGTCTCGCGCCGCGAGGCTCTGCCGTTTTCAACTGAGCACAGTGTGATCCAACAGTGAGCAAAAGCCGAGACGGGATCTCCCACCTGCCTTGAACCAGCAAAGAGAGAAATCACTGGAACCGGGATATTGCCGTGTGGCCTGCCGGAGACTGCATCCTTAGCTACACTCCGATTGAGAAGGTGGGTTGTTGGGCTCAGGCAATTAGCTACGTATCTACACTCCCGTGTCCCCGTTCGCTAGGGCACATGCACACTGAGACGCCAGACTGTGTCCATCAGCTTGAGCACTGCTTGTAATTTTCGAACCTGGTGACTACATACGTGTAAGGAAAAAATGTCTCCACGTCGTTTCTTTGCAACATTTACTGCGGCGGGTACAAGCACCCGAGAATCAGATCTCACTAGACTCGTCGTAGTTTTGCTGTGGGCCTCCCTTGCCGTGGTCCAAGTCCAGAGACTCTCGGCAGACCCGATTCGGTGTTACTCTCAGCCTGAGTGTCGAGTTGGAGACCCGGCGCCGGGGTGTTCGTGCAACCAGTACCTCGATTCGGACACCGGTCGCTGCGAAAACTGCCTCGTCTGTTGCCAGGAGGGAAAACATCAAATTTCGCGGTGCGAGAGAGACCAGAATTCCGTGTGCTCTCTGTGTGCCCCGGGTGTACAGTTCCTCGATGGGGATGCGTTGCTCTGCCGAAACTGCTCCGTCTGTGCATCAGACGAGAAACAAGTCGCGCCGTGTACGACAGACAGAGACACGCAGTGCCAGCCGCGATGCCAGGATCACCAGTACTATGCCGCGGGCCTCGACCGCTGTTTTTTCAACTGCGAACTCTGCCAGCACGGCTGCACCACGTCAGACACCTCGGGCACCAAGTGCCAGTGTCAGCCGAGCCAGTGCTATCTGGAGACCGACCTCCTCTGCGAGACCAACCAATGCGCGACAACCGAACCCCCTCCCCCCGACGTGACGAGTACTCTAGCACATAGATCTAACGGACTCCCCACGTGGGGGATCGGGCTCATTTCCATCGGTGTCGTGATCGGGATTGTCGCTTTTTCCGCCGGGTCCATGATACTTAGTTTCTGCACGAGAAAGTCGCCGCAGACCGACCTGGAAATGAATGAGCCGGGAGTCAACACCAAACCGTCGATGCTGACGGGTCGTTACATTAACGAGCCGGGGGCACTCTTTCATAAGCATCACCCACTTTTTGAGACCGGTCGGAAGTACGGCCACTACTCCCCCGGTTCGTCCACCCGTTCGAGTAGCATGAGAAGTGGGAGCATTCGGACAAACGGCATTCGTAATAGCCCAAAGACCCACGGAGTTAACGCTCAGTCTTCGAGATCTGAGAACATTACACCCATATGACCTAACCCTTTCTTTTTACACCCACCCCTCTCTCCGTACTCCTCCCCGTCCTTGTATATGTATGTATGTATGTGTGATTCAAAGAGCACTAAATGATGTGTCTTTCCCCTCTTCAAATGGGCACTTACGTACTTCATTCCGTATGTTCGCAAGTGTTGCTGTATGTCACCCTCTGTCACTCATTGTCCCCTCCAAATTGCTCCTTATATCACCTTAGCACTCATTGAGAGCTATCCTTTCATTCAATTTCGCTCCCCGTTGTTGATTAACAGGGGCTCACAGGTATTTACCCTCTTAATCACATTCCCCACCTTCCATTATAGCCACTGTCTTGATGTTTGTGTTTTTCTGTTGCTGTAAAAGGCCAATTGTATAGTCTTTCTGCAAGGTTTCATATGCTGATGACTGATCTGTGGATGCGTATAAAGCAGCAGCTAGTATATACTGTATTGACGTGTTGCATGGTGGCAGGAATGATGGCTTTGCCCTGTTTTGCAATGGTGCAATAACAGGATAATAAGTGCACCTATGACAGCTTGCCAATAAATATCCTATAGTATTACAAACCCTTTCAAGTTATGTGCCCAATATATATACCTGGTATGGCATATTATTATATTAGGTAACCAACAACAAATTCCGTGACTCAAAACCTAGTCGTAACAAAGAAAAATTCACAAACTGTTATATAGCACAAGGCTGCCCTTGTATAAAGACTCCCTTTCTCCTCTGACGGTTCCCTGTAAACTTGAATTGCGAAATTGTGGCAGAGGTGTTAATGAGGTGTCATGTATTTCTGGGTGCAAGGTATATATATACAAATTTTTTTTAATTGCCCATTGCATAATAGAGTTCACTCATTGAAATGCAAATACACACATAATAGGGAACCTCCTTCTGTATAAGGTGCTGGACATGTTACATATGTATGTTAAGCATGTGATCAGGGTATCATATTACATGAGCTAATTATCTTACATAACATTACAAATATTACATGTCTGCAGAGTGTGCACTAAAATCACATTAATTATCAGTCAATTGTGCCAGGGGATCAACTTGTTGCCTCTAATAAAATTTAATATTGGTGGCCCCTATCGAAACTCATTGTGTAATTTCTTTCATATGGTGATTTGATATTCGTGATTTGTAAGACTCAATAAATAGTCAGAAAACGAAAGATGTCAAAGAGAGTGTAATTTAAAAACTGTATATACCTGAAAAGACGGGAACTTATAATTTCATTCTTGTGCAAACCTAATTGCATTCTTGCGCTGGGCCCTATTGGTAACTGCCTTAAAAACTGGCTGTCCTACAAATAGGTATTTTGCCATTCGCATAAAACTATGGGAGAAACTTAATTGTCCTTGTTAGAGAGGTGCCCTTGATCAAGGTGTCTTTGGAGAGACTGTGCAAGCGGGTTGAAGGCAGAAATCAATTTTAGAGTCCAGCTGCAGAAATCCATCTAGTGTCTACAGTCATGCTATATATACACTGCCAGATGTTTTTGTCGTCCTGGTATATATATACATTTTAATTTGGTTTGAACCTCTGCCATTTTGGTCTTCCTTTGAAGCAACCTCCTGGGGGGGTTTGCTGTGACTGTAACTGTAGCCCTCCCACCTTTATGCAACAGTCATATACATAGTAGGAAGAAGGAACTTAGTCTGCACCCTGCTTCCTCTTCATGTATGTAAGCTACACCACATCTTCCTGTTGTTATGATGATGCTCAACTTTATAGATGCATCTCATGATGCCACTAGACACCTGCCCTTGCCTCTTTTTTGTACATTGCAGCCACTGCATGCAGTGATGTCGAAAAACAATGTAACCATGTAGTATGGCATAAGAACATAGGTCACATAATATAGCAGCCTCGAGAACCTTGCAGAGCCACTGAGCCAGTACCATCATCACAATGTGTTGATGTAGGTGTGTAATGTGGGGTGCGTAAGCGCTGACACGGACAGCTCTCCTAACTAGGTGTGTTATGTTTTGTCAACCTACAGAATTAAAGCACAGAGGTTTGTAGCTTTATGTTGCGTTACTTTGTGGCATATGGTGGCTAGCTGTCTGGAGTCCCACCTAGGACAGTTATCACTATACATTATAACCATGATTCATGTATACCCATCAACCCCACATACAACCCCCCCAAACACAATCTGTCCTTGAAAAATTGCGGTCTATATTACTATTGTTTTTTTGTTCTGGCGTTCTGAGAAGGGCACGACACTATAACGAAGGATAGTTCGTTTTCTCAGAACTCCCAATTGTTATCCATTCACGGGTACAGGTGCTCGTAAATTGCAGCAATTGTGCCATTTTCACCTATTGACGTGACGTATAAAGTTCAAAATTCCGTAATACCTACTGCATTCAACAGTGGCTATACTTGAGAACAGGTGTAATAAAGCAGTAGTGGATACTCTTACTATGCGGCTATATACATACCCTTTGTTATCATTATCAACCTTCAATTGTCTACGAAAACACACCATGTTCGCCATACATCTCTTAAAATTAAATTTCTGACTCAGCCATAGTGATATTCAAAGGCTATTGTGGTTGTGATAGGCATTGAACCGCTAAAAATCAATAAAATCAATATCTACTCTAAACACGAGATTCAGCTGAGTCACGTAGTGCATATTTACATGTCCCTTGTGCCCTACGTAAATAGCAGATGTGTTCGAGCATAATCAAATAGACATGTCTCAACAACTTGGTAACGAGGTAGAAAGGCAAGGCAAGGCAAACATTAAGTCAACTACACCCAACCCAGGACAGCTCTTTCTTTTCAAAGAAAAGAAGAAGAGCTGCCCTGGGTGGGATTCGAACCCACGACACTCTGCAGTCTAGGCGAGCACTCTACCAACTGAGCTACCAGGACAACTCAGCTGGTAGAGGTTCAAATCTACAACACCACAAAGGCAAACCTCAAACCACTGTGCTATGGCACAGTAAAGGAGCAGACCGGGGTAATCTTAAACCACCAAAGACGCCCATCTCCAAACCGAGGCAAGAGACAGGCAAGCATTCGTCCTATATACATGTCGTGGCTCTGACCGCTTTTCAGAAGGTGGGTGTGACTTGTTTGCCTTGCCTTGCCTTTCTTCCTCGCTACCAATTTGTTGAGACTATGCTCAATACTTTAACTAGGCCAAGGTCGGTTGCTTGGTGGCTCGTGGAAGAACAGTCCATGGTGTGTGACGCACCCATCTCCCTCTTCATGCGGTGGCTACTTTGTGATGTCAACACCGAGCATTGAAGCTGCTATATATGTACATGATATATCAGAGCATGAGAGTTGGGGTAGAAACGTGTCCTGGCCATGGCATGCCGATATCTACATGCGCATGCTCCGAACGATTGTTTATGCTATATGTCGGCCCGCCCCGCGCGCACGCCGCTATATTGTGTACGACGTTCCACCAGTGCGCATGCGCAATATTCGTAAGTTACAGGCGTGCGCGCGCAGCAATCGAGGACTTTAGATAATTACCCTCGGCGCGCATGCGCAGCGAGGGTACAGTAGTTGGGTCTGTCTGTCTGTTTGTCTGTTTGTCTGTTACTCTATATCTCACTCCTTCTGAAAAGTAGCTATAATATACAGTTGTGATCTTCAGTCGCATCCTATTGAGTAATCGTTTGCCTAAAATATTTTGTGCGCTTGATTTTCTGCATGAAAAAATGAGACAAGTGCAAAGCCATTAGTACACACAGCACAGCATGCGCAGTTAATAATGGCGTTCTCTTGAAATGGGTGCGGGCGGCGGACTAGAAACCGGTATTATTTTATCATTGTTGCACACACCAAATATACATCTTCGAGTGGCCTTATGCTTTTTCGCTTGTTTTCACGGCATATCTCTCGAACGCAGTCGTTTCAGGAATATCGCCATTTTCTTTTTCAGGTTCGCGTAGTTCTGAATACGTTGGTATCGCTCATGGGCCGCCTCGAACCCTGTAATGCGAGAATAGCTGCTGACAGACGGACAGACACAGACTGTAAACCCTCGCTGCGCATGCGCCCGCCCCGCATGCGCCCGCCCCGAGAGTTAATTACTATCCGCGGGCTACACCGCCCCTTGGTACTTATATACAACATGGATGAAATCGCCGAACGATATGATAGAGTTCACAGAAACTACCAAGGCAAGGACGGGAAAGAGCTAATAGCCAAGTTGTCCCTGCAGGAAGGATGTAGCGTCCTAGATCTCGGCTGCGGTACTGGCTATCTCACCAGTCTTCTCGCGCAGAGAGTCGGACAGCGAGGAACTGGATCCGGACGCGGCGAGGATTGCCGTTGCCAATCTAAACTACGCTTCGTTGAAAAACGTCACGTTTCAAGTAGGCAACAGCGAAGAGTTTCCGAGCGGTCTCTACGATGTCATCTTCGCCAATCACGTCATGCACTGGATAAAAGACAAAGAGAGAGCGTTTAGAAAGATTTACAGCAATCTGGAAGATGGAGGTACGTTTGCGTTCACCTGTCCCTCGGATAGCGCAGCAGTTACTTCGGATACAATCTGGAGCCTCATTCATCCTGCAGTTCAACATTACTCCTACGTATGCGACAGCAATTTATATTCTACACTGGCCACTGGATGTGGTTTCAAAGTAAAGGTGTTAGCTGTTGAACCCATGAAGTATACGTTTAGCGATGTCGATTCCTACTTGGATTACTTCATTCCCACAATGACATCAACATAGTACATGCCCGATATGAACGTGGTGAGGAAAGTGAAAGAGCAGTTCAGTGGCCGTAAACCAGTCGTAATGTACTGGGCTAGAACAACTGTTATTCTTAGCAAGTAAAAGAAAGCTAGATGTATATATGACTTGGCAAGCGAAGCGAGCAGTTCAATTTTTCGCGTGTTTCAACACACACCAAATTCGCTAAATTGGAGCGCCAATCATTATTTGTGGTTTTACAGTAGCGCTACACTCGACGCATAGCCCAGCCCATCAATTAGCGGTACCGCGCATGCGTAATGCGCCGACTTCAGAGTGAGCGTAGTAAGCACTAAAGTGCAAGAGCTAGTCATGACTCTGTTCGAGCAGACAGAGCTATGCCTGTATATACGGAGAGGTGCCGTGATAGGCATTGAACCAGGCGGAAAATCAATATCTAGCTACTCCAAACACAAGTTTATGACTCAGCCATCAAAGGCTATTGTGGTTGTGATAGGCGGAAAATCAATATCTACTCCAAACACGAGATTCAGCTGAGTCACGCTGTGCCTATCCCTTGTGACCTAAATAGCAGACGTGTTCGAGCATAATCAAACAGACATGCAAGAGACAGGAAAGCATTCGTCCTTCATGTCGTGGCTCTGACCGCTTTTCAGTGGACATTACTATGCTCAATACTTTGACTAGGCCAAGGTCGGTTGCTTGGTAGCTCACATAAGAACTGTCCATGGTGTGTAACGCATCCCTCTCCTTCTTCATGCAGTTGCTACTTAGTGATATCAACCAAAAATAGTGAGCATTGAAGCTGCCACATGTAACTATGCACATGATACTCCTGAGCATGAGAGTTGGGGTCGAAAGATGTGTCCTGACGTGGGTTGCATGCCAGAAACCAGGATATCTGCATGCGCATGCTCCGAACGTTTTAGCCTCCGCGCGCCTCCCGGCGCGGCCGGCCAGCCAGTACCGCCCGTTCCACCAGTGCGCATGCGCAATATTCGTAAGTTACAGGCATGCGCAAAAACCGCTCCAGGGAAGGCACATTGGAGGATGATGAGTGCTTTGAGGACTTAAGAAAATTCTGGCAAGTAGCTATAATGTATAGTGGTGATCTTCAGTCACATCCTATCAACATACAGGTAAACTTTTGCCTAAATATTTTTTTGCACTTGATATTCTGCATGAAAAATGCTGCTAGCCCAATTATATATAGCTAATAATTTTGCTGGAGAGATACAGATCTTGCTGTTACAAAATATTTCCCAGGTTGCTACAACAAATACTATTTCCAAGGTTGTTGGTAAACAATGGATTTCTATATACATGATGTAAACTACACCTAAACTACCTATATATATACCTCTTTTTCAATATAGAATGAGGCATGTCATAGGCAACTAACACTTCCTTTTTAGACTCCAGCACAGCAGTTGAGTCATCCGTATTATAATAATCAAATTTTCAATGTGCAATGTGCAGTCACGCACATACAAACGTGTCCGTATACGACATGCAACAGTATAATTTAACGCTCATACATGTATAAATACTGTCAATTCCTACAATAATAGAGAGAGAGAGATTGTGGTTCGTGAGATTACATCTTTTTCCCCTGCATGAAAAAGTATGCCTGGACACTTTTGTCATCATTTTTGGCCGGTATACTCTCTTGCTTGATGTCAGAGAAACCAGCCTTTTCCATAGTCTCCTTAGCCATTTCATGGGAAACACCGTAACTTCTAAATCTTTTATTAGCCACCACGTAAAACCCAACTTCGGCAGTACGGATGACTCCAACGAACAGAAATAAACCGCCTGGCTTGACCAGAGTCGCCAAACGTTTCATGCCGGCTTCAAACTCGGCTTTGCTCTGCGTGGCACACTGAAGGACAAGGCAGCACATCACAACGTCATACTCTCTGCAGTACTCCTCTTCAATGGGAGGGTGTTTGTTCACGTCGCACGCAACCACGGCCTTCACCTTGTTTCGAATCAATTCCTCCCTCTCCTTCACCTTCTCTGAACCCAACCCCTCCAAATCGTTTATCACGTACTTGAAATACGACGTCCAATCGAAAGCCTTCGAATCGCCTGCGAGCCACTTTTCAACGGCAATGCGGTTGTTCTCCACAAAGTCGGATAGTACGATCTCCTTTGCTACTGGGGCGGCAGATATTGCGCCCAGAATACTAGGACCGGAGCCGTAATCAAGGACACTGAGACTGCCGCTGGAGAGGCTGCTAAAGGCGGTGTGGAATTGCTTCAGGAAGAACTCGGGGAGACCAGGGGCGTAGGCCGAGAAGCCCTGACGGTACATCCCAAAGTATTCCTCCGGGTCAAACTGGGCGTGGATATCTTCTCCCGCGATCAATGCGCTGGGATCCATGATAATGGAAGGATAATATAGTGCTCTTATTAGCGACTATAAATGCCACACATCAAACCTTGTCTTTCGGTTATCTTTTTCAGTCCACTTTTTCACGTGCCTAGTTAGCTAGCTAGCTAGGTACGTACACGCGTACACGTACACACACGTACACGTGCAGCTGTGGGCGCCGCCGGGGAGCGCGAGAGCGCACTCGTAATCATCGCGACACACACCTCGATATCCCTTCACATGCGCGTATCTGAAGGGCCGGCCACCACAGGAGCGATTGCGCGCGCACAATCAACGTTCGCGCATGCGGTAAAAATGTGTATCTGCGAAGGAAGTGGCTCAGAAACCAATCCAATCTGTTATATTAGCTATTGTGACAAACCAGTAAAACAAAAACCACCAATTCAATCTAATCTTGTAACTGTCACTGTCTTTCTCTTGAAGTTAACCTGAAAAAGAACATTACGGTATGGATGCACAAAATATGAGATCTACAGCCTAGTATATACCTCAGAGATAAAAATGCCTGGTGTCCACCATTTATGAATGAACATAATTATGTACACATTATCCTGCACAGCTTGTGCATTGAAGGAGAGATATACATACACGTATTATCCCAGTGTAATTTGTACTGTAATACCTGGCGTTGCTGATGAGGATGAGGTTCTGGACTGCAGTAAGAGTCGACTGCTCATTCTGTCCTGTCACAACGTGACTGTCCACCACCACATGAACTTCTCCCCACTTGCTACCTGGAGAAGAGGAATGAACAAGTAAGACAGAGACATTCTAATAAGCAAGGGATGCGCAGTGTAGCAAACACACGTTGCACGCATTATAGCGGATCACGTGTGTTGAGCCACTGTTACCCCGTAGAGGAGTTGGTCCAGCGGGTCACGTGCAGGGTTCTGAATGCAAGGGTTAGGGGGTTCGAATCCCACCAGCGCTATATACTCCTTTTCTCTTTTATTTCCCCCCCCAACATTTTGTACCTCATTAATTATTCATGAGGGTCACTATAGTGGCCTACTGCGTGCAACTTGTTAGGCATTACGCTGCCTGTTTACAGTGCTTCTCGAGTATCTGCGAGAGTGTGCACATTCTAAAATAGTGTGGGATAAAGTCTCCTTTTGAACTCATTTGAGCAGAATTTACTCAATTTAACAAAGAGCAGGCTACAATTCCATGTTTCCGGGCTAGTACAGAGAACTTAATGCACAACACGCTGGGGGAGGCATGAGTTACCTTGGTATCATTCCAAAACCGTGAAACACGTAAGTACGGATAAACTGTGGTCTGTAGATTGATTTGGTGATCAGAGTAGATTTAACCTCCAAACATCGATCTGGCTATGCCTACATGTAGGTGGGTGTTGTGCTGATGGGAATGCAATCCTAGCAGACACTCACTGCTGTAGGTGGCTCCGTGTTGTCTGATGAAGTCAGAGGGAACCACTGGGAGAGTGGCAAAGTCATCTCTTCTGGCAACTTCCTCTGTCGATGGCTATTAATAGTATATTATACACACTAACACTAACAGGTATATAGCTGTATGATGGGCACTGCACGTACCATTTATGCTCTATGTGATTCGAAATACGCTCAAAACACGCACGAAATATTTAACTTCTCGCTTTGCTAGCCAATGACGCATTGCATTCCTCTAGACCGACTATGAGAAAATGGGACAACGGGGGGAAAAAGGGTTTTAGGAGAGAGAGAGAGAAGCGTTCTCACGGCGGTGAGACTGTAGTTGGCCAGACCCCACGTCTTGTCCGTACTGGCAAACAGAGCAGCCACTCCGTATCCCACTGCACACATCAACTCTGGAGAAAGAAAACTGACAATAATAATATGTAGCCTAAGTGCTAAGGGCTCAGTTGGTAGACGCTTCTCCAAGTGCTCTGCTTTGCTCCGTACAGTTTAAGCAGCAACATATTTTCAGTGCATATGCTGTACTGTACATGTATATACTTTGTGAGTTACCAAACCTATGTATGAATAATGGACTCTTTTGGACACCTTTAACCGCTTGTCCAGAGACAATAATGACCCAGTATTTGGAAACACCAAGGGTCCTTTTTGAAGGTTTTTTTTTTTCCAAAGCTCCTCTGAAATTTTTCCTCAATGTATAATCAGCTACTAACTCTTTTCAGCCATGAACGTCTTGAGAATCCCAGCCATGAAGGGACTGGAGGCAAGGTCATAGAGTGCACCTGGACAACTTGGTATCACCAGAGCAAGGAACTGTGTACCTATAAGATGTGAAGGGAGGGAGAATAATGATAAGGGGAGTTATATATTACATATATACGTACATAGAGAAAGAGAAAAGATATGGAATATGGCAGTATATATAAGGGCTAAATTTAGAAACTGTACAGAACAGAAACTTAATTGCATTCTTAAACTGGGCCCTATTGTTTCGGTCTATCTTTAGTAACAATCTAAATTTCTAAAACAGAAACTTATTCTTGCACTGGGCCCTATTGTGTCGGTCTATCATTCCAAATTTAGCCCTTACGCGTGTACTGACATTTCCCTTTAAAGTGTGGAAGGAAAAGAGGGAGAGTTGGATAAGAGAAGCTGCACTGTAAAGTAAAATTTAGCAAAAAAAGATACATCAGGCAAAAGACACAACATCCCCCGTCACATCAATGATTTCCGGGAAGGAAATTCAACAAGTTGGAAGAAATATTAAGAGTAGTAATTAGAAGGAACAAAAGACACAGTCACTGCATCACTCATCACTTTTCTATCAAACTCCCCCAGTTTGGACGACTGGCTATGGGTCGGGAGTTGTAGTAGCACTAGCTATAGTGTGGTTCCAACTGACCGTCCATATTCTCCAGAAGATGAGGCTTGGATATTGGTTTTGATTTGAACTCTGCCAGCCACTGTCGGTTGCCTTCATTGACGTCCACAAAATCAATCGTCTTTCCCTGTGTAATGCAATCAGGAACTGAACAACAACTCATACTCTTTCTCCCAGTGTTTTATAGTGAGCCTGGCTCATAGAGTAGCTCTGTGGTCCACACGTAACTCAGCCTAGCTATGGAACGTGAGTTGAACTTTCAACTTGAATTGTTGGGTAAGTAAGCTTATATACCTTTTCCCATAGGCAAGTACATAAGAACCAGGGAATCATTAGCGAACTACATTAGCTGATAGCTAGATGGGGAATATACTATTGGAGAGTATGTGGAAGACTCACATCGGGGGTAGCGAGGTAGATGTTGAAGGTCGATGAAGTGAGAGTGAACGCATGGATAAAAGACTGTGCCGAAACGCCTACTTGCAGGTATATACAACAACCGTAAGTTCGTGGAGAGGATTTATTACCTTTAGGATGAGAGCTGCAGACCAGCAAACATGCAGGCTTCTCTCCACGATAAGCCATCTCCGCCGACTATCCCTGTCCTGGTTTTTATCGGTCAGTAGAGAAAAGCTAGCGAGAGGAATAAACGAGCCACGCCCACCGGCTTCTATTGAACGCCCACCATAATCTAGGAATCGGGTTCCATTCGAGTTCGTTTCTATTCCAGGTCGCTAGCGAGCTACGCCCCATTTTGAGCCCAGCAAGAGTTAGATCGAGCCATGGCGGCAACCGAGGCCTCAGCGACAGCAATATCAAGAGAAAGTGAGTCATACTTACCTAATCTCCCTGTTTTGTTAGCTACGTAGCTAGCAAACTACGGAATGGTTTCTCCAGCAAAGTGTCTTGCACTATCACAATGCTATGGAGGGAGAGCCGCTTTTGAACCCACCGGTTCTCCTTTCCTAGATCTCCAGCGAGCAGAGGCTATCCTGAGGAGCATTGTGGCGGACCTGGAGCGGCCTCAGGAGCTGGACCAAGCTCTGACGGAGGAGGAGAGGGAGAGCCTGGGAACATTACAGAGTATGCTGGACATTGTTCAGAGTCCACTCTTTACTGCTGTGGTGGACATCACTGAGAAATGCAAGAAGGTATATAGCCATTCAATTGTCTCCTGGATAGCTACATATACGCCACACATTCTGTACCTAGTAGCTTGCAGCCTGTCTCCTGCGTAGGCCACAGATTGTACATTTCTTTCTATTGGCTATTGGCTGTAAATATACTTTTCATGATAGCATTCTGTGCCATACCATCTTCCCGCTAGATTTTTAAGAAAGCTGCATTTCACATAATATACTGAAAGGGAGTAGCTGCAGCTATTGAGTTCAAGGCAGAGCATCCATACTGACTTATGCAAGAATCTTCAGAATAATCCGACTGCAACGCGACAAAAGTCTGTCTGTTTTTCTTTCTACATTATCTGTCTGTCTGTCTGTCTGTCTTTCATTCACCCTCTCTGTATATCAAGACGATAGCAGAGTCAGAGAGTTGGAACGAGGCAGCTGATGTGAAGGCAACAGCAGAAGACGTGGTAGTGGCACAGTTTAAAGAGAGATACAGGATCCCAAGGTTCAAGACAATTGTACATAATTATCTACCGTGTTTGTTAGATCCATTTTTAAAAAGAGAGTGACAGGCTAAGTATACATTATTGCAAGAGAAACGGGACCTCCACCATTTTAGATAGCCTTATTACAAAAAAACTAGTGTACAAAATGATGAAATGATAATTATGTGTGTTCACTACTTAATTGTCATTGGTAAACTGTGCATTTTACACTTTCTACTTTCCTTGGGAAAAATATAACAAAATTGTTTTTTTTGCATCACATTGTTAGCTACACTCAATCTCCACATTCTCTCCTTTTTAAAACTGCTGCTCACTCTTGCAGTGTCAGTAGAAGCTCCTCAGGAACTCCAGATGCCAACAACCTTCTTGACGACACCACAATCATCTCCCCCTCTGACAACCCTGACCCCCTCGTTGGGGCTAATCATGATCATCACCATGCCAGTGCCTCAGCTCTCAACAGAGATCTGCCACAGAGGTCTCCGTCGATGAGCAGCTGTGACAGTGTCAGCAGTGGGGGCAGCAGGAGGAACAGAGGAAAAAGAACAGTAAGCAACTTGTGTGTGCCAATAGTTATTAATTTTTGACTTGCACTATTACAAGCTACGTATGAGCAGTGGAACACTACTCTGAGTTTGCTATATACTGTCATGCAGGGCAAAGGGCTGACCCTGGCTCACCTGGCAAGGGAGTCAGTCCAACCTCACGGAGATGGTATCCCTCTCAAGACTCTCCCTGGGTCACCAGCAACAGTAGCTCAGGAGATCAACAGAGACGTCTCTCTCTCCTCGTGTAAGGATTTTAAAGGATCATGATCAGTTTAGTTATAGTGGGATCTCTCTAATCTGGACACTTATGAGACAGAATAAAATTAGAGAATTTTCGTTATTTCAGGGTTAAGTTACATGAAAGAGTTGTCAAGGATAGAAAAAGTGTCCTTGTAAGAGAGTGTCCTCGTTTCAGGGGTGTCCTTATAGAGTGGCTCTACTCTAATTCACATGACTCAATTGCTCATCATGCCAGAGTCTTATAATGCTAGGGTCAACTTGCTAGTCTCTCAAACAGCTACAGTAATGGTAAAATTATCTTAAGACAAACCACCTATCACCTCTTTATTTAATTCTATAGCTAGAGTCAGAAGAAAACTCTATGTAGCTACATTCCCTATAATTATGTTATTGTGACAGAACGAAGCACTTTTTTCTGCAGTGTCGTCATGTGAAGCCAGCTCTCCTCCTCCTCTCCCTCCCTCACTGCCACCTGATGACTTCTTGTTCTCAACCACACCTCCCTCTCAATCACCTACCACCGATGATCAGGTGAGGAGAGCCCCTGCAATCAATGCATACTTATTGCTTGGCTGGTGCTACAGTGTTAGTTTGAGTACAAGTTGTGCACATCAGCAAAATGAATGCCAGTTCAATAATTTTATAGGGAACATCATAAAGTTGATTACACTGTGACTCAGCATGGCTTAGCCCATGGGCTTTAACTGTTGATAACAACGGAACAGTAGATAATTATAATTCTTGTCAGGAATTCAGTATTAGTCCATTGTACTATGTCAGTGAGTGTGTGAGACCTTTGCGTGTAAGGTCACAACTTCTTACCACAGGTGTATATGAATGGGTAAATTAATTGTTCTGGTATGAACTGAAAAATCATGTGGACACCCATGCATTGCTAGAAATCTTTTGATCACCTTTGAATGTGTATATGTGTAGGAAAAACATAAATGCTTGTTGTGTCCAAATGCCGCAAGATAGACAATTTAACAATTCTGCAGATCTTGTAAAGCAGTGTTTTAACCCTGCAATTATCCCCTCAATGAAAGGGGGAGAGGCAAGATGACGGAGAGGGTGTCCAGACGAAGGACCTTCTGTTCTTTATGAGAGACGAGGAGAGTATGAAAGACGTTAGATCTGTGAGTTGAGTCACATCACATCAGAGCCTGCAGCGTTTAAATCTGTGACTACACACAACATGAAATCCACTGTATAATCTCACATTGGCGATTCTTTGTGTGAAAGCATATACAATTATTTATGAACAAAAACATGTCTTATAAGCAGGATTGTTAAATCTACACATTACACTATGTAGTAGTGTCCATTATCGGAGGTTCCACTGTATTGTGGCATGCGATGGGTGTCAACCAATACCATAAGTGGCTGCTCACCCTCAGCAAGCCACTGGCATATATATATGCCCAGAGCCTCCATAAGTCCAAAGAATTTAAAATGGCTATAATACTAGGCGTTTATATGTACAAGTGTAGTTATCTTCCAAAGTAGTATAACACTTTTTGTCTCACTCACAGACACTGAGTGGTAGGTGGGGACGCAATCCACGAGAAGTCCAACTCCTGTCTTCTCCATCAGCCTCCAGCTCTGTTGGAATAGAACTCTGTGGACTCAGCGCCACTGGTCTGTGTACATAGGCTTGCCATCTTGTGTTGTATCCTACCAGCTGAGTTGCCCTGGTAGCTCAGTTGGTAGAGCGCTCGCCTACAGAGCGGCGGAGTGTTGTGGGTTCGAACCCCACCTAGGGCAGCTCTTTTTATGTGTAGTTGTGTTTTGTTCATTTGACAATCATTGTAGAAAGAGCCAGACACTGTTAAAAGTAAGATGTTGTAAACCCCTTAAGGGAGAGGAAGGAAAGGGAGAAAGGAGTTTGTTAGGAATACGTTTAAATTCAGTGAGATAGGGACATAGAGAATGAGATAGTGTATGTTACTCTAACAATAGTGGGACTGTTTGGTTTTGTTTACATGTGCTTTTTACCCTGAGGGTTTGCACTTCAGTGCATGTTTCATTAACCTGACCCCGCTTCCCTCCTGCATGTTAGGTGTCTTTGTTTTGGATGTGACATTGCCGTCACTGGAAGACAGGCTACAAGATGGAGACCAAGTACTGGAAGTCAATGGTCAATCTGTCGGTAAGCAGGAGGATAGTTTTACAGTGGAACCTTCGAACAAGGGACACTGTGGGACCAACGATTTTGTCCGTTGTATTATACTGCCATGCTAATAGTTTAGTGTATTATTTGACATAATCATGTATAAATGTGGGTTGGTTTGAACTGAAACAACTGATTATTATCACACACTCACGGACATTAGGAGGGAGATGTTCTGTTTGTCTCTTGTCATAATTTTCATTGAATCATGCCATCTAAATAACACTTATTCAGAAAACATGGCTTGGTTTGAGGTGAAACAACTGATTCTAAAGTCTTTTTCTGGAGCACAAGTTCCTCAACGGGAGTCAAGTGATGGAGATAGTCATGCAGAGGAGCAAGAGCTAGAGAGACTTGGCGGAGGGACTTGCAAACTACTAGTCCTATACAACCCAGCAGGTTTGTGATATTAAAAGTCGAGGCAAGGTGAACAAACGGTAGTTTCCCCCACTCACTCGAAGACTCAAGTCAAAAGACAAGAAAGTTTCAAGTTTATGAACATAAATAGTCAGAAAATGCCGACTTTGGCAATGGGTCAAGCCAGACCTTTCTGCGTGAGAGTTTGCGACCACAGAAACCGTAGCTAGTAGGTGTGCATGTCCTGCAATGCAGGACCCATAAAGTATGCGTATAGCTAATGTTGATGCATGCGTCAAAAATGAAGTAAAAGCAACAAGGCAACCAACACAGCTAAAGAGCTGCCATGGGTTGGATTCGAACCCATGACACTCTGCAGTCCAGGTGGGTGCTCTTGCTCTACCAGATGATCTAGCACCAGGGCAATTCAGTAGGCAAGAGTTCAAATCTAATAACACAATACAACTAAAGACAACGGCAAGCATCCAGTAACTAAGCAAATTCATTATCTGAATTGTATAATAATTATAGGAGCAGACCAAGGTAATTAAACGCCCTCCGAAGGGTTTGGGAGACCAAAGCCAGTAATTTACAAGTCTCCATGAACATAAGGGGTTAATATTGATCCTTCTAGCTAATGGTTCATTCAGACACATGTTTGATGTTCTCTTGCATGTCATGCATTTTCCAGTGTGAATTTTAACTATTACTCTTCTTCACAGGTTTGGGTGAAGTCAAGCGAATGGAAACAAGGACAAGGACTTGACAGTCACATGATTACGTAACATTACACGCACACTTTTGACTGTTCCTCTCATGATATAATATAGCAACAGTACAATTTTGATACACTGAACATGCTTCTCACACACTACTTTGGCTAACACTCACGAAAAAGCACTATATTAACTTCCTTTTGTACTGCAGTTTAAAGGTAATGGTGATGTAAGGGCTAAACGTTACTAAAAACAGAGCTTAATCGCATTCTTTCACTATGTCCCTGTTGTTTTGTTCCATGCTTATCCCTTATACTGCCACATTCCCTTTAACGTATTTTGTTAGCTACCCTCTTCTCTAGCGACCCTGTGTGCGTGCAAAAATTTTAGTGGGTCAAGGTTATGGAGTGCTTGGGAAAAATTTTTGTACTTTGTACTATCTAGTGCAATGTAAGATGCACGGAAAGAGTGGTAATAATGTGTTTGAATAGGAATGGAGCTGGTTACTACAGAGATCCATGCTTGGTTTATATAATATTATACTTCAGTGTAGCTAACTGGGGAATGTGTCACTATGGAAGCAATAGAAACCGGTGATGTCTCAAACTGGTTCTTTCTCCGCGAAGCAACAATTCTGCACGTACGGTATTCCTACAGGACTTATAACTATGATCTTCAGGTCATGTGTGCAAAGTACAGTAAAGTGTGTGCAGTGGTTAGTTAGCTACACATCTAAAGACACAAGTCACTCATGTGATTGTGGTCATAATCGTTCAGCGCATTGTAGTCAACGGAGTTGGTCTGAGTGCTATCGTTACTACAATCATGAAATGGAATAATAAAGGCAGCATCATGCAATGACAATAACATCTATGCATTACTGGCGAGTGAAGCGAGCCTACCTAGTGGTCTAAATGTTGGTTTCATTCATAAAATTGCTGTTAAACTTACATGCTGAGTGAGAGTAGTGTACTGTGCCATAGCACAGTGGATTGAAGTTTGCCTTTGTCTTATCTGGTGGATTTGTTGCCCTGGTAGCTAAGCTGTTAGGTAGAGTGCTCGCCTAGAGAACAGTGTTGGTGTAGTTTATTTGCAGCTAGGTCCTTGATATGGCAGTGTAGGCAGTTCAGGAATGTTGCACTGTGCAGGCTTTTATAACTAGTGATGTCTCGAACTGGTTTGGAATGGCAATATTATCTTAAAAGGGTCCTCGGTATATAGCTATGCACACGTAAAAGTGAGCGTGTGACACGTATATGAAATGTATTACAATTGCCATCATGTGCGCACAATAATTATTATACTGCAATAAACCAGGCCTTATAATTGCTTCATCATGAAAAGGGATAATAGCAGGCAAAATAATGTAGCTATAATATAGATACTGTCTCTTCAAAACAACTTAACATTGTGTATAATAATTATATGAGTTGTGTTCTTTCACAGAGTTACACATTAGTTATCGTACATAGAGTTCGATGTAAAATATTTCAACAGTTGAGGATATTTGGATTGGGTCATTGGTGGAGGCAGATAGAACCTTCCTGAATATCGGTGGAGTCCCGTATCTGCAGCACCGACTTCCACTTTCGCAGTTGAGTCCGTCCCACAGAGGTACTTCTACGACGCTTGTCATCCCACTAGAGGCAGGTGTAGGTCGAGATTCACAAAAGTAGTCGCTCCCTACTATATCAGGTAGGTTTCCAAATGCTACGAAAAAGTCATCTTCATCTATCAGGCAAGGACACAATGTAGCATCGGGTGAAGCTGAAGCAAAATTATCCGGAGGTCGCCCCCCTGCGGCGAATGTCCAGATGTGCTCAGTAGTAGTTGAGACAACAGCACCACGTGCCAGTGGAATGTAATCAGCGAGTGTTACTACAGGGGATGCACTGCCTAGGACAGGTCCAAACGCCCCTACAACTCCAGCTCCATAGCCTCGAATTTGGCCACACACTTCAGTGTAGGAGTCATCCACTGAAAAAGTTGCAGGGGTTGAACCTGTGCATACTCGTTGACCATCTCTAAATGATGAGGACCACTCCGTTGGACAGACATCTTGTGGATCATCCATGTTGAGAAGTGCAACCGGACGCCAATCCTGACCTCCGCAGGGATGGACAAACCCCTCTGCTTCCTCCATTCTCTCTTTTACTTGGTCCACACAGCTCTGCATGTCACTCAGTGACTGTTGAGTATCGGTAGCATGTTCGGTGCAAGTGTCATCATCTGGGGATTCGCCATACTTGCTGGCCTTTTTCAGGAGCTCCACTCTCTGCTTTAAACCAATGTAGTCTTCTTGCAAGGATTTGACACACTCTGTCATGTCGTTTATCTTCCAGTTACGATCACTTGCTTCTGAACTGAGCGCCTTTAGCTTTCCCGCAATATCTTGAAGCATAGCAACATCATCTGCAAGAATATTATGGTATTAATGGTGTCCTTCTTTAACAATAAGTCTCATTATTCTCTTATTTCTTAAAAAAAATGTTTGGGGACTATAAAATTGTTGCAGTACATCTTACTCACCTTCACTTATCGTGCAATTGCAAGAAGAAAATGAGAGGATAAAGACCAAAACAGCCTTGGGAATCAAACAGTCCATCTCTTGTTCTGTACGTAGTTTTACTCAAGGCGGTAGCTAGCTGTGTAGCTATACCACTGAGTGAAAAACCGATGCGTGGGGCCTTATTTTGTACTCGCAGTGAAGCCCAGTGCGTCGACGAAATACTTTAAACAGTGTACGTGAGGTAAAGGTGTAATACTGTTGCCTGGTGATGGAGCAGCGGGTACTAGTACAGTAGACTTGAATGGCACCCTGCCAAGATTGTGGGCGCGTTTGTTCGTGTAACTATAAGTGCAGCTATGTGGTTGAAATATTTCGAAACCCTTTAAGACACTGTCCATGCATGGCTGCTGTGAAGCGTAGCCCACATTAATACACTGCGTGAGTTATGTGTGGCTATTGCTTAACTATTATACATGACAACCCCTGTGCACTGCCTAAACAGCATCAATAGATAACACTCACTTGATGGTTCGGAAAATGCAATTGGACTGTGCTCTGTATAGTAGGGTATACTGAGGGCGGTTTAGTTTATGAGTTATTAACCCTCACCTGTTCGCATGCGCAGCGAGGGTTATTGCAGTCGGTCTGTGGGTTTTATTCAGATAGTTTCTGTTAAATTTACATGCTGAGTGAGAGTAGCTATACTGTGCCATAGCACAGTTGATTGAAGTTTGCCTTTGTCTTATCTGGTGGATTTGAACCCTTTCCTGCTGAGCTGCTCTGGTAGCTATGTAAGCTGTTAGGTAGAGTGCTCTCCTAGAAAACAGTGTTGAGGTTAGAATCCCACCCAGGACAGCTCTTTCATACCCTCGGCGCGCATGGGCAGCGAGGGTTACAGTAGTTGGTCTGTCTGTCTGTGTGTCTGTCTGTTACTCTTCATCTCACTTCTCGAGTGTTCTTTCGTCTCACAAAGAATACCATCTACCCAACGGGCGATGAAGGTCAGAAAATTTGTGGGGTTTTCTCTGAAACTGCTCCGTTGCAAAGCTAGAGCGCGAAAAAGCCAATATGCAAATACGAAACGGACGGGATGGCTTACCGCGGTCTGATCGATCCGCGTGCTCTGCGTACCTCGGAGGCACCAGAAGATGCAACGCAGGGTGTGTATCGCCTCTCGCATGCTATCTAGTAGTGTAGTTAGCCCGCGTCAGACTCTGCGCGAGCTTGCAAGAGACAACGAGTAACAGCTAAAACTAAACCCAGCCCATCAATTAGTGGTACTGCGCATGCGTTTACTTACGCGTGCGCGTCACAGTGCGCCGAGGGTTTGCACTTCAGTGCTTTTCATTAAGAAATGAGTTGTCCTGGGTGTAGTTTATTTGTCTGCTTTGCATTGCGTATATATACCATGATGTTGACACAACAAAGTGTTGTTGTTTTGTTGCTGGTGAGGGCAGTAGCTTGTAGCAGAAGGAGAGTGAGAGGTGATGAATCGGGCAGGTAGGTCCTTGATATGGCAGTGTATATAGGCAGTTCAGGAATGTTGCACTGTGCAGGCTTGGATAACTAGTGATGTCTCGAACTGGTTTGGAATGGCAATAATATCTTAAAAGGGTCCTCGGTATATATGCACACATAAAAGTGAGCGTGTGACACGTATGAAATGTATTACAATTGCCATGTGCGTACAATATAATTATACTGCAATAAACCAGGCCTTATAATTGCTATCATCATGAAAAGGGATAACAGCAGGCAAAATTCAGCTAGATGCTGTCAAAAAACATATATATAATGTGTTGTGTTCTTTCACAGAGTCCTTTCGGTCACTAAATGTTTTACACACTTCCAGAAACGTCAAGAAAACTCTAGCTATGTTGCTTATTCACAGAGTTAGCTATGTTGTAAAAAAATGGTTGTTGATATTTGGATTGGGTCAGTGGTGGACCAAGTGTAATTTAGTTTTTCTTCCAATATTGGCTCTTGAAGTTTTCCCCTTGCATGTGCATAGTTGTGTGGTCAGTGCAGGCGCAGAACTCAAGGTAAGGTCTGTTTTGCAAGTGGTTCTGAAAACATGCAGTACAAATAATTATCATGACTCTGTTGTAAGAAGTGAAGTGTGAGTGGTGATATCACTGCTTGAGTGTGTTGGAGGCATGGGATGGACTGTATACTACGAGTCCTCTGAACTGAGCTACTCCATGGTCATTAGGTCAGAATACAGAGTAGGAAAAGTTTGTCTTTACTATAATGCAGTCGTAAGTGTAAGGTTCTCGTTGGAGAAAAGGTAAGGTTTTCACGCAAATAATATGCGGCCGGCTGCGATTACGCGGGAGGGCGAGCGCCTCTGTTCGCACGCGACTATCACGCACACTGCTTGATTATCTACTGCAATCAGATTGGCCCGCTTAATATCAGGGGCGGGCAGTGTCATGGCGGCCGAGTCCCACAGGCGACTGAAGTTTTTATGGATTGTCGCATGCGTCGGAGTAGTAGCTTTTCTTTGCTTTCTGTACGTCAAACACATCGACCAGGTGAAGCCTGCTGGTTCTTGGAGTCACGGAGTCGAGCATGGAGCTAGTGCTACAACACCCAATACAACCTCCAATACCGAAACATCTGGCAATACAACCTCCAATACCGAAACATCCGGCTCTACAAATCGTAGCTACGGTTATTAGCTCTGTCCTGGCAATGGTGACATAAGCCTCTCAGGCAGGGTTGACACTACCGTCGGGTCCACCCTCTCTGCGCATGCGCGCCGAGGGTTAACAGCACCGGATATGACAACTACCAATACAACACATTGCTCCCGTAGCTACGTTTACTCTCGGCGTTGAGACCGTCACAAAGGTTCAGATGCCTCGCGAAGACATAGAAAGGGCGGTGACTAAACGAATTCCTGGCGAGAGAACTTTCTCTCCTAGGCGCAAAGGTATCGTTTTCACGCAAATGCATGCGGCCAGGTGCGGTTACGGAGCAGGACGAACACAGATTGGCCCGCTCAATTCCAGGGCCGGGCAGTTATGGCGGCCGAGTCCCACAGGCAACTGAAGTTTCTATGGATTGTCGCATGCGTCGGAGTAGTAGCTATTCTTTGCTTTCTGTACGTCAAACCAGGCCCTGTGAAACACATCAACTGGGTGAAGCCTGATGCTTGGAGCTACGGAGTTGATGGAGCGGCTGGTATAACGTCCAATACAACTTACACATGGAACACAACGACCAATAAAGCAACATCGAATACAGCGACATCGAATGCAACGACCAATACAACACCCGGCTCATATCTTAACTACGGATATTTACTGTCGGCGAATATCGCACAGCAAAGTACAGGAGCTCTGTCCGGCTATGGTGACATAGCTCTTGGCAGGTATCAGGTTGCAGAACAGGTATACTCGACTTGTCAAAGCTGTGAGCCCAGATGCAATTGTTTAGAACGCTGAAACTATTTTTTAGAGGGCTCGAAAAATAACAAAGAGAGGGAAAACAATCTCCGGGCATAATTTTTGGACCTTTTGAACGACGCATCGGAATGGACTAGAGCCATGCCAATCCTCAGCGCACTTTACTACGACTTTAGAGGATTTGCTGAGAATTTGACGTAAGTCCAGTAATATAAACAATTTAATAGGGTACGTGCTTTTTTTTTTCTTGTTTTTTGCCTTTTTTTCCGTTTTTGTTTGCTTCTGCGTGTGCTTCAACAAAAAGAAAGAAAGAGAGAGTTTTGAGATGGTTTGTCCTTGAGATGTCCTCCAGTTTGCTTTGAACTATATTCTCCGACGGAGAAAACATCTCTCTGCCGATACATCTATGCTCATCGAGATCTCTCTCATGACCGTGGACAGTTCTAAAAGTTGCAAGTCACAAATTCTTACCGATGGGAGACGATGCGCAGTAATGGTAAGCAGAGGAGCAGATGTGTAGAGAAGAATAGAAACTGACCAAAACCCCAAAAAATGATTTTTGCGCCTCGGCAACAAAGACGATGTGAACAGCGCTAACGATTTTTCTGCAGCCGACGTCTCTCAAATAAGAACACAATGTGCGTTCTGTGTTAATTTAGATACAGCTAGCAGTCATTTGTCATAAGTACAGAATGCACACCAAAGTCCCTCTAAACATACACCGATACAGACGTTATTAAGAGGTCGTTCTGCACGTTCGAAGCATATTCAACAGACGTGAGCTCAGTTACACTATGATTTGAACGTATTGGAACCGTGTCGCTATCTCCCCTAAGCCAAGACACTAGCTACTTCTCTACTACGTTCAACTATTTATAAGCCATGGATACACTACCGTCGCTGACAACACTAGAGGCGTATAGCAGCCTGTTATTAAGCATCGCAGGCTTTTAGTCGACACCGTGAACGACTCTGAAACTGCACCTAGAATCGGTGTTCAATCGTGCGCAGAGACTGTTTTTGAAATTGGGATGGAATTTTGTGTAAAGTGCCTTAAAAACTTGACGATACAATTAACATTTATGAAAAGTTTAAAACCACTCCACAAGTTCGTGTGATTCACGACTTAGGCAAGTATGGTACAACGGGCTGCAAGAAAATTATTGCCATTAATTATAAGTTGAAATTCCTTTCAGAACTGAAAAACTAAATTTAGAAGCTGTTTACTATGAACATGATGATATCCGTCGTTTCCTCACACGTCAATGTTTGCAGCATTCGTGGAGCGTGAATACCTCTCTACTTCTGATGAGTTGGTGACGGTTGGATTTGGGGAGGTTTGAATTGACTATTGGTTGGCGCAATTTCTTCAGCATTCTATTAAAAAACAATGGAGACACCTCCACAGGATATGCTTGAATAAGATTGAGGAACAGCTACTGATAAATGAGTGCCTAAAGTTAATTAAAGTCAGACTCTAATGTGTTTCTACAGACACTGTTGTGTAATCCATTTATATTTGAATGTATTCATGAGGTTAGGAGAAGCATAGCGCATAGGAAGCAGCTGAAGGCTGCCTTGACGTATACACAGACGTAATACACGAAGTATACACACCAGCATTGTAGAATCTCCACGTATTATTAGGATGCACCATGGGACCCACTGATACACTGTTTAAAATGGTAGGTGTTACGGCACACCTTTTGGGCGCCAGGCCCGTGTGACGGACTGGGCCAATTGCAGCACCCTTGAGAGGTCGTGTGTTAGGGTTGGCCGTGTATAACTCATCCATAAGAGGTACAGGAGGAACACCCTTCTTCTGGGGTGATGTACACCCATAAGAGGCTATTTAGCCCTTTCTCTATTGATGCTACAATTACACCCTTTGGGGGCGGGATGATTCATAACAGTTCACATAGGGTGCCTGTGTCGACAACAATTGCGGTTCGGTGATCATAGAGCGCCCGGTAGTAGTTGTTTTTTTGTTATTTTTGCGAGGCTAGCCAGTAGCGCCGTAAAGTTAGTTAAGTTTAGCCGCCATTGCTCTTACTGTTTGAAAGTAGACAAAAATATTTCACAGTGTTAATAAGAAGCATTGAGCTACAAAGAGCCAAATGATTACAGTAAAGACGCATAAGATAAATATCTAATTGATGCTGAACGTCACCATTTTGTCCAGAAAAGAGTAACCACAGAGATGTAATGTAAACCATGGTTTCTCAGTGCATTTTTTCTTCAACAGCCTCATCAAGGGACGTCTCGGCTCATTCTATTAACAACAGTTCGTCCACAATTGTTATTACATGATAATAATTATATATATTATAATGTTAGACTTACAGAAAACCGATATGCATTGTGCACAATGTGATATTTTTTGCTCAAGGAGCAGCTATAAAGACCGCAGCTCAGTAGCCTCATAAGATATGGCCATTATTGCCAGCTAGCCTGCATCTGACCTGAATGGAGAGAATGCATGCACCTCCAATACAACTATACATACGAGCATATAATTACTATTTCAACGCACTAGACCACGCTTAGAAATATATGAGAAGGAAGTGCTACAGTACCATGTATGCTCACATTATGCCATCAGGAGTCCGAATGGAATGAACTTCTCTGCCTGCCTTTGAAAGGGCATCCCTCATCGTATTGTGACCTACCATACTCTAGCCACATAGATAGAATTATACCCATCTGGCAGATATCAATAAATACCTAGCCCAAATTCTTAAGAATTCAACTCCTATTATCTTGCCTTTTAAATTTCCTCTCATATCTATGAAGAAATACCTAACACTATGAAAGCATCTGACAATACGAATGAATGACTCACATATCAGCCCTACTGTTCGATCTTTCCTCCCCGCAGACCATGCCCATAATGCGATAAGTAGGGCAAGTAACAAAGAAGTTATCTAAATACAGCCTGATCCGCCCTCCTACTTCTCCTTTCAATTCCCTCACGCGATCCCCGTCTGGAGAAAACGTCTAGAACACAGCACTAACCCATGACGGATAAGTCAACCATCGCTGCGTAGCACATGTGCTGCTGCTGCTGGCTGGTATGTGATACTGGGCTAGGAAGCATAGCGTGGAGTCCTAAACAATTCAGATGACCGTCTTAGCAGTACTACACGTAGCTAATGATCAGTCCTTACGTATTTATCTTCGACGGGGTGGTGAACGCCTACATCGGAAATTTTTCTATCTATCGCGGAAGGCAGTTCGCATTCGACTTGCCGACTCAGTTCGCTAGCCATGGTATTCGTATGATGGCTGGTACTTGCCGGCTCCCAGAAGCATTTAAATACTTAGCTGGAAGTGCGCCCAAAAAACCAACAGCCATAAGATGATCGTCTATCTCATACTTGATTTGAACATGCATGGCACTCGCAATCATAGATTCACTAACCACGGTTTTCAGGGCGTAGACGAGGACGGCCGCGATGCGTATTAAAAAGTAAGTGCCGGCGCTGCACCGACGCAGACACCTTCGAGCGCACGTGTGATGCCGCCCCAGGTAGGGCTTTGTTGAACTACGTCTCGTATACTGTCATTCTCATTTACATTGACTATGATGCACATAGTCTCAGCACATATTTTTTTTTTTAAGACATCTCATGGTATTCACTCTACCTTCAATGAGGATCAATATTTATCTCCATCATCAATCTTCTAATTACTTTCTAATGAACCTACCGGCTAGTAGTCCCTCTTTGTAATTCTTTATGTAGTCAAACAATAACAATTAATATAACAGTCTACTGAGAGAATGATATGGATGAAGAAATTTCCGGCATCTATTAGCCTGTCCTGTGTGCGATGAACAATAAATTATTATTAAACAACTATCGGCCACGTAAGGCCCATTAGAAAGGAAGTTGTGATATAGGGTGAATGGGTCAGTGTAGGGGATGAACACCTTGGTGTTGCCCTAGCGTGAAGCACTAGAATGTGCCATTAGTTTACTCTACACCCCAAGGAGTGTTAGTAAAACACCTACTTAAGCGTAATAGAACCACCCCCTTAAGCGTACTCCAAACACCCTAGCCAGTTTAGGCTACAGAAAATGGGGTCGGGCGGCGGGATGTGGTTAGATAGCACCCTATTTTATAAAGTGTTATTGTAGTGATGCACCGTGTTCTTGGAGAATTTGAGGAGAAGATACTCCCCGCCATCAGAACAGACCCATATAAAGCGCAAAAAAGATGTAGCATGGCGGATATGTTAAATAAGCCCCACCTTCAGCGCGGGTTGGAGTTAGCAGGCAGGTGAGTTGTGGTCTCAGGCGGCCTGGATAATTCCCGCGTAGCCACAGAGCGGAGATTAAGACTGCAAAATATACGCAAACAACAATGTGAGAAGGATCCAAGACCAAAAAACAGCCTTAAGGCCAAAAACAGGTCCCTACCATCTCTATGTTCGCCTACGTAGTTTACTCAAGGCGTAGCCTAGTTGTTGTATTGTAGCTATACCACTCAGTGGAAAAAAAACCTAATGCGTGGAGCCATTATATTTGTACTCGAAGTTGAAGACCCAGTGCCCCCTCAGTCAGAACGAAATACTTTAAACAGTGTACGTGAGCGTAAAGGTTGGATAAATACTGTTGCCCTGGTGATGCGATAGCTAGCGGCGTACTAGTACAGTAGACATAGAATGGCCCAACTGCAGCATTGTGCGCGACGGGGACGTGTGTTCGATGTAAACTATGTGCAGCTAGTGAACGTGTTGAAATATTTCAAACCTTTTTAGACACGTGATCCATGCCTGGACTGCTGTGAAGCGTCCTAGCCACATTAAATACACTGCGGAGTCAGTGTGGCAGTGCCCTAACATTATAACATCGAAACCCCTGTGCACTGCCTCTAAAAGCATCCACTAGATAACACTCACTTGATGGTTGCAGAAAAAGCCAATTGGACACTGGTGCTCGCTATATGGTAGGGGCGGTCTGTATGCGGATGCTGGTTTATTTATGACGTGGGCTGCGTTTGTTTATAGAGGTTAAATTGTAACCCTCGCCTGGTTCGCCATAGCGCAGCGAGGGTAATTGCCCCAGCTCGGTCTGTGGGTTATTATTCATGATAAGTGTTACATGGTTAAATTTACATGATGAGTGATGAGTAGATACTGATGCATAGCACGTGAGTGAAGTTTGGCCTTGTACTGTCTGGTGGATTTGAGTGGACCCTTCCTAGACTGAGCTGCCTCTGCAGTGCTATGTAAGCTGTTTTCAGGATAGAGGCTCTCCTAGAAAACAGTGCGAGGGGGCTTAGAATCCACCCGCGACAGCTCTTTCATTACCTCGGCGCGCGATGCGCAGCGAGGGTACAGTAGTTGGGTTTGTCTCTGTCTGTCTTACTGACTTCCTCTCTGTCTGTTTGTCTGTTTGTCTGTTACTCTATATCTCAATCCTGGACGTCTGTTCGTCCCAGAAGAAACGATACTATCACCCCACGGCAAAGGCAAAGTGTGTGTTTGTTGCTGGTGAGGGCATTGGCAGTAGTAGCTTGTAGCAGACGGAGAGTGAGAGGTGATGAATCGGGCAGCTAGGTCTTGATCTGGCAGAGTTGTTGTAATAGGCAAGTTCAGGAATGGTTTGCACGTGCAGGCTTGGATAAATAGTGATGTCTTGAATGGTTTGGAATGGCAATAATAAATCTTAAAAGGCTCATCGATATAATTATATGCAAACGTAAAAGTGAGCGTGTGACACGTATAAAGTATTTGTATTGTGTGTACACTATACTGCAATAACCCAGGTTTATAATTGCTATATCATGAATTGGGAAAGAGCAGCTATATAGAGCTGTGTCTTCAAAAACATTAAATGGTGTAATAATTGTGTTGTGTTCTTCAGAGTCCGTCGGGTCACTAAATGTTGTAAATTGACCACACTTCCAGAAAAGTCAAGAAAACATCTTGCTACATTGCTTATCACCAGAGTTAGCTATGTGTTGACTGATAGTACATAGATGTTCGATTGTTTGTAAAGGAAATGCAACGGTTGTTGATATTTGGATGGCGTCAGTGGTGTGGACCAACTGTAATTAGTTTTCATCTTAATATTGGCTCTGGAAGTTTCCCTTGCATGGGCATTGTCGTTGTGAAAGTTGCAGGCGCACAAGAGAACTCAAGGTAAGGTCTGTTGACAAGTGAGTTCATGATAGGAAGTTGAAGTGTTGAGTGGTGAGTTATAATCACTGCTTGAGTGTGTTGGAGGGATGGGATGGATGTATACTACAAACAAGTCCTCTGAACTGAAGCTACTCAATGGTTATTAGGTCAGAATACAGAGTAGGAAAAGTTTGTCTTACTATAATTGCAGCGTAAGTGTAAGGTTCTCGTTGGAGCCTGGAGAGCAAAGGGTTAAAAGGTTTTTCACGCAAAAATTGCGGCCGGCCGGCGATTGACGGGGAGGGCGAGCGCCCCTGTTCGCCACGCAACGCGGGACTATCACGCATGCTGATTATCTACTGCATCTGATTGGCCCGCTCAATATTTCAGGGCCGGGCAGGGTATGGCGAGCGAGACAACCGTCGCACTGAAGTTTTTTAGGATTGTCGCATGCGTCGGAAGTAGTAGTAGTCGTAAGAGCTATCTTTGCTTTCGGTACGTCAAACGAGGCCCTGTGAACACATCGACCCGGTGAAGCCTGCTGGTCTTGGAGTCACGGCGTCGAGCACGGAGCTAGTGCTACAACACCCACAACTCAATACGAAACATCTGCAATACAACTCCAATACGAAACATCCGCCTCTACAATCGTCGCTACGCGTATTTACTGTCGGCGAATATCGCACAGCAAAGTACAGGCGCTCTGTCCGGCTATGGTGACATAGCCTCTCTGGCAGGTACCTCGACTGGTCACGATGAGCCATATGTTGTGGAAACTATTTAGAGGGATCCCAAAACAAGCAGCGAAGAAAAAGGCAGGGCCATGCCACTCACCACTTTCTACGACTTTGAGAATTTGCAGTATAAAATAAAGTGTGCTGAACAAAAAGAAGAGTGTCCTTGAGATGTCCAGTTTTGAACAATTTCTCACGAAAACATCTTCTGCCGTCATCTATGCTCATGTTCTTCATGACCTTGGAAAGTTCAAGTCAAAATTTTCCGATGGTAAGCAGAAGATTGTATAAAATAGAAATCGACAAAAATGATGGCTCGGCAAAAGAACGATGTGAACAGGCTAAACGATTTTGCAGCCTACGTCTCAAAAGAACACAATGTGCGTTCTGTTAAATTAAGATACAGCAGGTCTTTGTCATAGATGCACGACCAAAAGTTCCCTTAAAACTAACAACGATACAAGACGTATTGGGTTTCTGCCGTTCGTAAGCAATTTTCAACGAATGGCTCAGTTACACTTATGTTTAACTTTGGCGTGCTATTCACCCTAAGCAGACACTAGCTACTTCTACTACGTTCCAAACTTTATAAGCCATGTGATCACCTGAACACACTAGGCATAGCCAGCAGCAGGTTATTAAATAAGCATCGCAGGCTTTTAGTCGACACCTGCAACGACTCTGAAACTGCACCTAGACTCGGTGTGTTCATATTCGTGCAGAGAGAGAGGACTGGTTTTGAAATGATGGAATTTCGTAAAGTGCTTAAAAACGTGACGATACAATTAACATTCTTACGAAAAGCTTAAAACCACGCACAAGTTCGTGTGATCACGACTAGGCAAGTATGGTACAACGGCGCCTGCCAAGAAAAATATCTTGCATAGTATAAGTGAAATTCCTTTCAGAACTGACAAAACGCAATTTCGTAAGCTGTTTACTATGAACCTGATGATAATCCGTCGTTTTCCCTCACAACGTCAATGTTTGCAGCATTCGAACGTGAATACCTCTCTACTCTGATGAGTGGTGAGGTTGGATTTGGGGGTTTGAATTGATATTGGTTGGCAATTTCTCAGCATCTATTAAAAACAAGGAGCACCTCCACAGGATATGCTTGATAAGATTGAGAACAGCATACTGATCATAAATGAGTGCCTAAGTTTAATTAGTCCGACTTCTAAGTGTGTTTGCTACAGACACTGTGTGTAAAGTCAATTTCTATTTGAATGTACTTCATGAGTTAGAGAAGCATAGCGCGTAGGAAGCAGCTGAAGCGGGCTATGCCTTGACCGTATAGCACAGACGGTAGACGAAGTATTACACACCCGCATTGTAGAATCTCCCACATATTATTGGCTGCACCATGGGGACCCACTGTGAGTGATGCACCTGGTTCTTGGAGAAGAAATCTGAGAGGAGACGGGAGACTACTCCCGCATAACAGACCACTATCAGGAACAAAAGATGTAAGTACATGTCGGATATGTAAATAGCCACCTTCAAGCGGTAGAGGCCGTGAGTTGTGTTCAGGCGGATACTTCCGCGTAGTGGGGAGATTAGTGCACAACATTACGCAAACAACATTGTGCGCGACGAGACCTGACCGTTATAGCTGGTTAGAAGTGTCCCAAAGAATGGACCTTGTGCTGTTCTGTACTGGCACATGTAGTGCTAACCAGCAACGGTGAGCATGTGGACGACGGGTAATGACCAGTCCAATCCCCGGATGTCGCGCACGGTTTCTGAAGCGCGACGCTGGCTGTCTCTCTCGCTATGCACTGCCTATATATTATATTTATATCCACTGTTCCTCGTCCGATGTTTGTAGTCGTTAGGATCAGCAACGCAATGCGTAATTATGGTGCGAGATCAGTGTCAAAATTACACAGTGGTGAAGTCGCTCAATTAGTGTGATACGGTATATTCATTGGTATGGTGGTGTGTTTTATTGTGGGTATGGCAGGTTATAGGGTCTAATTGAGTCGACCTGACCACCACTGTGTATGTTGACCTTTGACTCGGAGTCCTGCCCACAGCCGCCAGAGAGAGCGTGTGTGAGGGAAAGTGTCTAGCATGGCCCTCAGAGTTCAGCAGCCACGCAAGCACTGTCGAGTTAAGGCAACAGGCGCACTCTTAATTACAGGCGGAAAAGAGATCACTCTGTCTCGAGAAAACCTGCAGAAAGAAGCGTCTCCGTTTCCAAATTACGTTGCGCATCACGCATTTTTGACGTGACCTCATATTCGTCATGTCCCGAAATTGTGGTACGTCGCTGATTCGCGTATTCACGACAATCAACATTCCTAAGCTGTCTGCGCATGCGGCTGTAATGTAATCAAGTATCGTAGCTGCGAAAGGAAGTTGTTCTGGCTGGTGTTCAGGCGGGCCAAGACCTTGCTATCTCTCGATTGTTTATATGTCCAAGTGTGTACCACGGAGAACACTCGTAGCCTTGCAAACGCCAGTGTGCCGTTTTGCAGAAAGTGCTGACTCAGCGGGTTGAATGGGGTTACGTTGGCGCGTGGTGTGTGTGTCGCCGGCGAGCTAAGCCGCACGTGACGCAAGCGATGACGCGTGCAGGCTAGGCCAGGCTCGAGGAAATTATTCCCCTTTATTAGCCTATTATTCTATTCCTATATTCCCTGGAAATATGCCATTTATTCCTTTAAATTACACCAATTATTCTTGACAATTCATGACAAAAAGGACATTGATAACAACGACCACGTTTGTATTGTAGCATCAAGGATGCCTCTTAATAATCCTGCAATGCCAAGTCCTGTCCTTCATTGAAACTGTTCATCAAGAGAGAGAATACTCTTTCAGCTGCCGCCGATGATGGCCAATGCCAGGGGGCTGGCCGGCCGGGGCGCGGTGGCGGTTGGGGTCACGTGTGTTAAAAAGCGTGATGCGCATGCGCATAGACACGACGTACACGCGGGAAAATGGAGGCGCTGATGTTCGCCAGATACAAGTCGCCAGTCGGTTGAAGATCCATATCTTCTGTCAAAAGGGGTCCTTATATCCCTCCCACTAGTGGTTTGTTTCTCGTAATTGTCGCCATGAACCGTCTTGCTAACCATGGTATAAATTTGGATGTGTGCGAATCAGAGTTAGAGAGACAACTCCTGATGCACTCTACTTGACTCTTTGACTACCATGGACCCCACCTTCTTCAGTCATGTGTTATGCTTCCTACATGTTTTTTTAACTTGTCTGTATACATGTCATGCCCGGGCGGGGCCATTCAAACATGAACTTTGAACTTTGAACCTAGCGCGATTATCCCGGAAGTGAGCTATTATATTCCCGAAATAATTTCCGCATATATCCCTAATGCGCATGCACGCACAACCTCCTCTGTCACGAGACTATCACGCACTGCTTGATGGGCGGGGCCGGACAGTGTCATGGCGGCCGAGTCCCACAGGCAGCTGAAGTTTGTACGGATAGTAGTCGCATGCGTCGGAGTAGTAGCTATTATATACTTTGCTTTCTGTACGTCAAACCAGGCCCTGCACATCGACCGGGTGCTGCTGCAGGTTGGAGCCCTGAGCATGGAGCGGCAACAACTTCCAATAGCGACACGTTGGGTTCTACTACAAATCGTAGCTACGGTTATTTACTGCCGGTGTATATCGATCAGCAAAGTTCGGCAGCTCTGTATTATGGCTATGGTGACCTAGCCTCTCTGGCAGGTTACCTCAACTTGTCAACTGTTGAGCCATATGTTGTTGGAAACTATATTAGAGGGGTGCCGGTAATAGGAGATAAAAGCAAAGCCTTGACGCTCAGCACATTCTATGACTTTAAGAAATTGCAGAATACTATAGGGTCGTGCTTCGACAAAAAGAAGAGTGTCCTTGAGATGTCCAGTTTTGAACAATTTCTCACGAAAACATCTTCTGCCGTCATCTATGCTCACCTTCTTCGTAACCTTGGAAATTACGAGTCAGTATTTTCTGACGGTAAGGGAGAGATTGTTGAAATTGACAGAAATGATCAGTCAGCAAAGAACAATGTGAACATGCTAAACAATTGGGCAGCCTATGTTTCAAAAGAATATAATGTGCGGTCTGTTAAATTTAAGGTTAAGCAGGTCTTTGTTATAGATGCACGACCAAAAGTTCCCTTAAAACTAACGACGATACAAGACGTATTGGGTTCTGCCATTCGTAAGCAATTTTCAATGAATGGTTCAGTTACAGTTTTGTTTGGCAGTTGGCGTGGTATCGTCCCTGAGCCAGTCAGTAGCTACTACTACTACGTTCCAAACTTCTATAAACCATGTGATCACCTGTACAACACTAACAGTAGCCAGACTGTCATCGAGGCATCGCAGGCTTTTAGTCGACACCTGAACGACTCTGAAACTGCCCCTAGAATCAGTGTTCATATACGTGCGGAGAGAATTAACCACGGGTTATAGTGAAATGCCTTAAACAACTTGAGGATACACTAAAAATGGTTATGAGAAAACTGAAAACCACTCCACAAGTACGTGTGATCCACGACATGGGCAAATATGGTACACGGAGCTGCAATTATGGTGGATGTAGTCAATATACGTCAAAATTAAATTCTGAACTGAAGAAACTCAATTTAGAAGTTGTTTACTATGAAATTGAGGATTTTCCGTCGTTTCCGCAAACTTCAACTTTTGCAGCATTCGTGGAACGTGAGTACCTCTCTACTGCTGATGAGTTGGTGACAATTGGAAACGGAGGGTTTCAAACCATATTGGTTGAGCAATTTCTTCAGCATTCTATTAAAAACAAGGAACACCTCCACAGTATGTGCTTCAAATAGGATTGAGTAACAACTACTACTAAATGAGTGCCTAAAGTTAATTAAAGTTGGACTTCCAATTTTTCTACACTGTTGTGTAGTCAATTTATATTTGAAGAGAAGCATAGCGGCATAGAGAAGCGGCTGAAGGTTGTCCATCTATATTATAATTATACTAAACCTATCAACTACAGTGGGTCCCACTTAATATTTCTCCAAAAAACAAATATTCGCTTATGACGCAACCTTGCGTAAACAGTTTTGACTAGTGCACTGCCGGCGGCAAGGTGAACGCGAACACCATGCACCTCTGTACACTCAAGGGTGTGCATTAAAAAAGGGTGTTTTGAAAGCTTTTGCGCAATCTCATTGGTCAGAGCCTTACTTACCGCTGGATACAAACGGTGGCTTTGGCTTGTGGTCAACTGGTTGCACACTCGTGGCTTCAGTTTTGATAGGGCTGCGCCCTCGTGCCCTATCAAAACTGGCCACTCGTGTATATACATCGTATGCCATATATATCTCATCTACCGCATCAAATGCAAAATGAGAAGTCCATGAACTTTAGGCACTACTTCCAATCCTACTACGGTTAGGTACATATCCTGTGGAGGTGCTCCTTGTTTTTAATAGAACGGCGAACGAAGTTGTTAACCAATATCATTTCAAACCCCCCATATCCAACAGTCACCAACTCATCACAAGTAGAGAGGTATTCACGTTCCACGAATGCTGCAAACGTTGTGCTGCGAGGAAAAAGAGGGATAGTCCACAGGGTCATAGTAAACACTTGTTAAATTGAGTTTCTTCAGTTCTGAAAGAAATTTCGACCGATATTTACCACAATCACCCCAGCAGCTCCGTGTACCATACTTGCTGAAGTCATGGATAACACGCACTTGTGGAGTGGTTGTAGAGTTTCTCATAAGCATTGTTACTGTATCCCCAATTTGTTTAATGCACCTTAAAAAATTGACCCCCCACTTTTGAATAACTCTCTCCCCACGAATATGAACACCGATTCTAGGGGCAGTTTCAGAGTCTTTCAGGTGTCGACTAAAAGCCTGTGAGGCCTTGATGACAGTCTGGCTACTCCCAATGTTGTTCAGGCGAACACATGGCTTATGAAAGTCGGGAACGTAGTAGAAGTAGCTAGAGGAAGACTTAGTGTCGATACCACGCCAATGGTCAAACAGAACTGTAACTGAGCCATCCATTGAAAATTGCTTACGAATGGCAGAACCCAATATGTCTTGTATCGTCGTTAGTTGCAGGGCAACTTTTGGTCGTGCATCTATGACAAAGACTTGGCTAATCCTAAATGTAAATGAACACATGTTGTGTTCTTTTGAAACGTAGGCTGCCCAATTGTTCAGCCTGGTCAAGCCATCCTTCGCAGACTTATCATTTCTGTCAATTTCAACAATCTTGTTTTCACCGCCAGAAAATTTTGACTTGTACCTTCCAAGATCATGGAGAATGTGAGCATAGATGACGGCAGAAGATGTTTTCGTGAGAAATTGTTCAAAACTGGACATCTCAAGGACACTCTTCTTTTTGTCGAAGCACGACCCTATAGTATTCTGCAATTTCTTAAAGTCATAGAATGTGCTGAGCGTCAAGGCTTTGCTTTTATCTCTTATTACCGGCACCCCTCTAATATAGTTTCCAACAACATATGGCTCAACAGCTGACAAGTTGAGGTAACCTGCCACAGAGGCTACGTCACCATAGCCGAACAGAGCTCCCGAACTTTGCTGCTCGATATACGCCGGCAGTAAATAACCGTAGTTAGGATATGAGCCAGGCGTTGTATTGGTGGTTGTGTACGATGTTGTTTTATTGCAAGTTCCAGCTCCATGCTCGACTCCGTGCCTCAAAGACCAGGCCGCAGCTTTCACAGGGCCTCGTTTGACGTACAGAAAGCAAAGAATACCTACTACTCCGACGCATGCGACAATCAATAGAAACTTCAGTCGACTATGGGACTCGGCCGCCGCCATGACACTAGTCTCGGACCCCGCCCTCAAGAGAGGGGTGTGATGAGTTGACCCCGAATCAGATTGCAGTATTATTTTGATTCCCCGCGCGCGCGAGCGTGAAATATGATGCATCGTTGGATACTAAATCGCCGGAGAGTGTCCGGAGACTCTCCGCTCTGCGCATGCGCATAGCCTTGTAGTGACCAGGCGCAGCTTTCCCGGTCCCCAAACAGAGGTGATTTTTTAATCTAACATCAGTACTTCAGTGCACAATGGCCAGTTCAATAGATGACTGAAACTCCGCCATTTTGTTATCTGTGAGGGGTGGGGTCTGGGAGGGATGATGCGCCTGGAAGTTGTGCGCATACACATGATCAGGCATAAGGTAAATGGGGGTAACTCCGGACGCAGGACATGGGGCGTTGCACCAGCCTCGAAATTATGCGCTGCGAAAAAACGCGAGGAAGATTTGTTAGCACTTTGGCAGGTAGTAGCTAATCAAGTGAAATATATCCGAATCTTTCTCTTGTTTTTGAATAGCGAGCTATGTCCGGGTGTTACCCCGTGTCCGAAGTTACCCCCATTTACCTTACACTTGATCGCGCAATCTAGCAACCCCGCGATTTATCCTATATCTAGCTATATTATGTATCCAACGATTTAGCTAAACGCTGCGAAAAGGGGTAGTGCGAATTTTGAGACAAATGGCGCCCCATTGGGTATGGGTTACCTTAGTACGTTTTTGTCCGCCCCCGTTTCTGGGTCTGAAACCAGTACCACGAGAAAGCCCTTGAAAAGTACTACATGATTATGCAGAAACTGTAGATGAAGGTCTAGTACGGACTGAGAAACAAGTGCGTGAATACGGACTACTCGAGCGTATATATTAATTTTGTCGGGTATAGTATGATAAAGCAACACCGTAGCCATACACACATTGGAGGAAGTGAAGTATACACAGAGGGATGGAGGTAGGCTATGAGACACACAAGAATAAGGTAAGGAATGAGAGATGCATCTGAACTAGTGGTGTAATCCTCTTCTCTCTTCTTCTGATTGGCTGTCTACAACAACTAGCACATCGCCAAGTAATTCTGATTCGTTGACATGCACTATTTCGTCACCTTCTCTCTCACGTAGTTGCATGTCCTGTACTAATTCCTCCTCTTCAACCAGATGTTGTTCGCACATGAACTGAGTATGTGTAGGCGTTGAATTTGGAGCATTATTGCAGTTACAGCCAGCTCCACATATTATACATGGCCTTTTTACACAGCTGCATCTTTGACTGCTGCATGCGGTATAATTATATAACGCTGGCACATGAACAGCCTCTGAGGAGAAACCCCACCCCTCTCTTGCACGGCTGTGCAGTTTTCATCTGATTCTCAGTAATAATTATAGGAGTCTCCCATTTGAGACCCTCCATCCAAAATTGTTAACGTCAGGGATAGTCATTTCATTTTCACCAGCCTCACTCCACATTTAGGAGACCCAACATGTACGTAGCCAACGGCATCCATTTCCTTCTTTCAGACACTACATCCAGGGACACTACATGGTACCTTCTTCTTCTTCTGCTCATGCTTAAGCCATATAGATGTAAACTCACTACTGTTTCTCACTGCTTTCCTGTTGTTTGCTTTACGCACACACAACTGACCAAGGTCATCTTTATGAGTAAAACGGACTAAAACCTCACGCATATCCTCTAGCCAGACTGTCATCGAGGCATCGCAGGCTTTTAGTCGACACCTGAACGACTCTGAAACTGCCACTAGAATCAGTGTTCATATACGTGCAGAGAGAATTAACCACGGGTTTATAGTGAAGTGCCTTAAACAACTTGAGGATACACTAAAAATGGTTATATAATTATGAGAAAACCACTCCACAAGTATGTGTGATCCACGACATGGGTAAATATGGTATATACACGGAGCTGCAATTATGGTGGTTGTAGTCAATATACGTCAAAATTAAATTCTGAACTGAAGAAACCCAATTTAGAAGTTGTTTACTATGAACTTGAGGATTTTCCGTCGTTTCCGCAAACTTCAACTTTTGCAGCATTCGTGGAACGTGAGTACCTCTACTGCTGATGAGTTGGTGACAATTGGAAACGGAGGGTTTCCAACCATATTGGTCGAGGAATTTCTTCAGCATTCTATATACTAAACACAAGGAGCACCTCCACAGGATATGCTTCAGGAAGAGCTACTATACTAAACGTGTGGTTAAAGTTAATTCAAGTTAGACTTCCCATTTTTAACTCCAACGAAACTCAAAAATGTAAGAATGTAGCTAGATATCCATCACCTGAAGAGACTGGTCATACCTATTTCTATATAGCCCCAGGCAATACATTATATATAATGGGATCACATGTGTCAGTATAACTCACAAATGGTATATAGGAGCTATGTGAATGAAACTTTGTAAACATAATGTATTCAATTACCAACATCAAAATCACAACAGTCCATGTTTGTAAACAACAACAAATAGACTCAAGCACTTTTCTTTAAATTTACTTCTTCACTTCTCAAACTTTCCAATGGTAGCACGCATAGAGATGAAACTTGGTATGTATGCCTATTGTATCATTTCCGTGACGATTACATGTTTCCATGACCACCGCATATTGTTTGAAAAAACCTCGGGCAATTTTCTTTAAAACTACTTCTTAACTCCTCAAACTTGCTAACTGCACACATGGAGATGAAACGTGGTATGCATATTATTTCCATGACGACAACAGGCATTTCTTTCCTATTATTTGTACAGGGGCTTGCCCCCTTCCACAGAGATAATACGTAGTAGTAAATGACTGGAGACCAAGTAAATTAAAAATCCTTTTTAGCACGCTGGCACCCCCAACCCCATCACACAATCCCTATAATTGTTGCCTAGGTGAAGCATTAAACATTCAACATTGCACAATAGTCTAGCTTGAAAATACGAAAAAGTCATGCTACTGAGTAACCAAGAGTACCAATGGAGTGGCACACCAGGCAACAATATAGGGATTGTGTGATGGGGTTGGGGGTGTCAGCGTGCTAAAATCTGTCCATTAACCATGCTTCATGTATCCCATCCCTATATCTTGTCTCCCTTTCTTTTATACCATCCCTATATTATTATGCCTCTTTTTTAAATTCGCAGGATTTTTAACTTCTGATTAATAATAATGAACACGAATCTGAATTAATAAAGCACAGAAAAATGAAGTAAATCAAGTTAACTTTTACGCAGTTTTATGTAAGATACTTATCCTGTGGAGGTGCTCCTCGTTTTTATTAGAAGTGTGAGTGGTGATATCACTGCTTGTGTTGGAGGCTGGGATGGACTGCACTAGAGAGTCCTCTGAACTGAGCTATATACTCCATGGTCATTAGGTCAGACAGCATGCGCTGCAACCTTCGGTGACTGACCGAGGCTGTACCTCTTCCCAATTTTCATGGTTCCAAGGTGCAACTTCAAACTAAGCTAGGACAGAATACTGTTGCATGCCAGCTGCCTGGTGGACCATGACTTCTGAAAGCATAAGTTAAGTAGCGTTCTGCCAATGTACATTATATATGCATGTAACGGCGACAGGTAGATCTGTCTTGCTTCACGAAAGGAAAGCTGTGCGCTGACGGCACGTTATGCAGCCCGAACATCGCGGGCAAATCCCAAGTTGGGTCGCTCCCGCTCACCAACAATGTTCAACATTTCCACTAGTATAATGCTACTAGTCCTTTTAATCCCAGCCAAATGCATCACAGGTTCTCGCATGCGCAAGGAAGAGGGATTTGGTGATTTTGTGGTTGGGGATGGGTGCGGTGTTTTTGCTTGATGTATATAGTTGGTAAGTTTGGTGTAGATGGCCAGCCTTTTTAGCTACTACTTTTCCTTATAATTATGCAACTTACTCTTCTGATTAAATGAACACGAATCTGGCAAATTTAAATTAATAAAGCACAGAAAAATGAAGTAAATCAAGTTAACTTTTACGCAGTTTAATGTAAGATACACATCCTGTGGAGGTGCCCCTTGTGTTTAATAGAATGCTGCATAAATTGCTTAACCAATATCATTTGAAACCCCCCATGTCCAGCAGTCACCAACTCATCACAAGTAGAGAGGTATTCACGTTCCACGAATGCTGCAAACGTTGTGCTGCGAGGAAAAGAGGGATAGTCCACAGGGTCATAGTAAACACTTGTTAAATTGAGTTTCTTCAGTTCTGAAAGAAATTTCGACCGATATTTACCACAATCACCCCAGCAGCTCCGTGTACCATACTTGCTGAAGTCATGGATAACACGCACTTGTGGAGTGGTTGTAGAGTTTTTCACAAGCATTGTTACTGTATCCCCAATTTCTTTAATGCACGTTAAAAATTTGCCCCCCCACGTTAAAAGCACTCTCTCCCCACGAATATGAACACAGATTCTAGGGGCAGTTTCAGAGTCTTTCAGGTGTCGACTAAAAGCCTGTGAGGCCTTGATGACAGTCTGGCTATGACCAATGTTGTTCAGGCGAACACATGGCTTATGAAAGTGGGGAACGTAGTAGAAGTAGCCAGTGTCGGGCTTAGTGTCGATACCACGCCAATGGTCAAACAGAACTGTAACTGAGCCATCCATTGAAAATTGCTTACGAATGGCAGAACCCAATATGTCTTGTATCGTCGTTAGTTGCAGGGCAACTTTTGGTCGTGCATCTATGACAAAGACTTGGCTAATCCTAAATGTAAATGAACACATGTTGTGTTCTTTTGAAACGTAGGCTGCCCAATTGTTCAGCCTGGTCAAGCCATCATTCGCAGACTTATCATTTCTGTCAATTTCAACGATCTTGCTTTTACCGCCAGAAAATTTTGACTTGTACCTTCCAAGATCATGGAGAATGTAAGCATAGATGACGGTAGAAGATGTTTTCGTGAGAAATTGTTCAAAACTGGACATCTCAAGGACACTCTTCTTTTTGTTGAAGCACGACCCTACAGTATTCTGCAATTTCTTAAAGTCAAAGAATGTGCTGAGCGTCCTGGCTTTTCCTTTTTCCTTTATTGTCGGCACCCCTCTAAAATTGTTTCCAACAACATATGGCTCAACAGCTGACAAGTTGAGGTAACCTGCCATAGAGGCTAGGTCACCATAGCCGGACAGAGCTCCTGAACTTTGCTGCTCGATATTCACCGACAGTAAATATCCGTAGTTAGGATATGAGCCGGGTGTTGTATCGGTCGTTGCATTCGATGTCGTATTGGTCGCTGTATTCGATGTTGCTTTATTGGTCGTTGTGTTCCATGTGTAAGTTGTATTGGACGTTATACCAGCCGCTCCATCAACTCCGTGGCTCCAAGCAGCAGCTGTCACCGGGTCGATGTGTTTCACAGGGCCTGGTTTGACGTACAGAAACCAAAGAATAGTTACTACTGCGACGCATGCGACAAAGACAATCCACTTCAGTTGCTTGTGGGACTCGGCCGCCATAGCTGCCCGAAGTTGAGCGGGCCAATCAGATTGTATACAAGCGGTGCTCGCGTGATAGCCTCGTGCGCGTTATGAATACGCGCCCAGAGCTAGCTAGGAGGCCGGACATGCGCAGGGATTGTGTTCCGTGTTAAAATGTACGGGGAGAAAAGCGTGCTGTAGCAAAACCAAGCGGGATTCGGAGAGGATTTGCTATTTAAGACGTAATATGTAAGAAAGATACTGGAAATCCTATTATCCCCAGCGCACCTGAACAGGAATGCTTGAAATAGGATTGAGGAACAGCTACTAATTAATGCGTGCCTAAAGTTAATTATAGACTTCCCATTTTTTATACACTGTTGTGTAATTAATTTATATTTGATTGTGAGGTGAGAGAAGCATAGCGGCCTAGGGAAGCAGCTGAAGGGTGTCCATCCATCAGGAGCAGATGACCAAAAGTAGAATACATTGGGCCAAGGCTCACAAAGGCACACATCTGCGTGGCTATCAGAAGAGTGTCTCATGTTTTGTGGCCCCTCTCATCGGTCGATCGTATAGCTCTGCTGAGGAGATAAACGACGAAATAACTAACGTTTCAGAGAAAATTTGCTCGCCCGCTCTACAGTCTCTTCCACTGCGCAAGAGCTCGGTGGAGGAAAAGAAATGGTATAAAGATCAGATTCTTTCTCGTCCTGCTTCTGCAAAGAAAGCAGCCTGGGACAAGTGGTCTGCAAATGGTCGCCCAAAGGAGGGCCCCCTCTATGATGCAAAAAGAGCTGAATTCAGAAAGAGGATGAGAGTCTGCGCTGCCAATAGTGAAAGGAAGAGAATTCAACGTTTTGATGATAAATTCAAACAGAAGTCTTCAAGTCGGTTTAAACAAAAACACATCAAAGTCCATCACTGCGTGTCAACCAAGAAGTGGCTACAGACCCAGAAACCATCCTGGCAGCATGGGAAGATCATTTTCAGGCAATTAGTTCTGCCAACACAGAGCTCTCTTCGGTCATGTGCTCCTCAGAACAAGAGATCATGCACGACTCCTTCAATAATGAAGACTCCCTGTTAGATGTCCCTTTCGTGTCTGAGGAGGTCGATAGTGTCTTGAAGAAGTTGAAACTTGGTAAGGCCGCCGGACACGACGAGCCCTAAGGGAATTCGCAGCTGATCCACCTCCTGCTCAGAGACCACCACCTGCTCAGAGACCACCTGTGGGTGCTGGCCTAGAACTGCTAGAGGATGACCCAGACACGCATCCACTTCAGCCCGGTGATCCTGTGAATAGAGACTCGCTCATACCTCCAGCCAAGGCTGCAGGCGCGCCCCTGCCACTACCTCCACCACTTCTCCCTCCACCCGCACCCCGCTACCCCAGACCGATATCGTCCCGGTATTCCCTACTAAATTCGAGACAAATTCTTTTTGGATGAGGGAGCTGTGTAGCAGGTTCATCCAGCTGTGTCACACACTATGGCACCAGACTGACTTGTGTATATATCAGGTTTCTCCAACACCAGACAGCTGTGTCACACACACTATGGCACCAGACTGACTTGTGTAGCAGGTTTCTCCAACACCAGACAGCTGTGTCACACACACTATGGCACCAGACTGACTTGTGTAGCAGGTTTCTCCAACACCAGACAGCTGTGTCACACACACTATGGCACCAGACTGACTACTGTAGTCATGTTCACACCACTGTAATGGTCATGTTCTCTTATATGCCTTTGCCCGGATCATCACCAATGCACCACCAATGGCCACAGCCTATAAAAGTGATGTTGCAATGCATATTCGCTCTCGGTTCCTAGATTTGCTGTCAGTTAACCAGCTCAACCGCAAGTATATATATACCAGTCCCTCGGCGCTGACATTATATAACGAAGATTCTTGTGTCGGCCCTGTCCCAATTTGGGTCGCTCACTCTCGCCAACAATGTTAAACGGATGATAGTTTGTGTAATTTTGACACTATTATTATAACTCCTCTTGTATGATGACTGAGAGTAAGATCAAAGGAATTCCAGCTAGTCCAAAAAACGTAGATGCGTAGTGAGCGCTTCCTGCTGGTAGTTAGCTATACCATAAAGATGCCATACGATTTCCCCATACTTTAGCTGTATGTCAACTTATTTGCATAAACCACAGTGGGTATAATAATACCGGGTGGTAATACGATAGTACGGCAGCGTGTAATGCAATTGGGGGGCTTTTACACTCTTTGTGTGCTGCTGTTTCTTTACCAGAAGGGAGTGTTTTCAGGCTAGAATGGCCAGAAAACTGCTATAGTATATAAGCTTACACTGTCTGAAAACTAGCGAGAGCTGCTTTCCGACGCGTATATACGCTCCAGTGGATTGGAACAGTATTCCGTGACTTTCAGCTTTCTTGCTACTGCTACAGGCTGCATTCTAGGGAGCGCTGGGTATAGCGGGAGAGAAAGCGAGCCAGAGGGGCAGCTACAAAACTTATAAAGAATAGCTTTATTAACATACCAGTAACGTTGAACTCTCGAGAAATGCCCGTGGCTTCTGCAAAACCGCCAAGCTTGACTAAACTAAAGCGCTTATTGCAGCCGTCTCTCTCCGCTCCCCGATCGGTTGCTAGCTCTCTGCGCACTCGAGGGTGTGCGTTAAAAAGAGGGCGCGCTTTGAAAGCACTCGGGCTGTGCCGCCCTCAAACCACTCGTGTATAGTAAACGACGCGCCACCGTAAAACCTACACACGCAGAACTATTCAGCCCTGAACCACGCAACTCACCCGCCTCAACCGCCTTGAAGGCGGGGCTTTTTCAACATGGGATTACACATTTTACTCCTTATATGGGTCTGTCATTCACCGGGGAATGTCTCCTCCATTTTCTCAAAGAACAGAGACACCCACTGGTGCATCACTAGGCAATAGTATTACTGTATGCAGAGCAGTATTTCTCATCCTGTTTTCTATCGCAATACGAATATAATACCATAATGGGAAGTCCAACTTTATTAACTTTAGGCACTCCCATAGTAGCTGTTTGACATCCAATCCTATGGTTAGGTACATATCCTGTGGAGGTGCTCCTTGTTTTTAATAGAACGGTCAACAAATTGCTCAACCAATATCATTTGAAACCCCCCATATCCAACAGTCACCAACTCATCAGAAGTAGAGAGGTATTCACGTTCCACGAATGCTGCAAACATTGACGTGTGAGGAAACGACGGATTATCATCAGGTTCATAGTAAACAGCTTCTAAATTGAGTTTTTTCAGTTCTGAAAAGAATTTCAACTTATATCTTGAGCAATAATTTTCCTTGCAGCCCGTTGTACCATACTTGCCTAAGTCGAGAATCACACGAACTTGTGGAGTGGTTTTAAAGTTTTTCATAACAATTTTAATCGTATCGTCAAGTTTTTAAGGCATTTTACAAAATTCCCTTTCCAATTTCAAAAACAGTCTCTCTGCACGAATATGAACACCGATTCTAGGTGCAGTTTCAGAGTCGTTCAGGTGTCGACTAAAAGCCTGAGATGCCTTAATGACAGCCTGGCTATTATTCATGTTGTACAGGTGATCACATGGGTTATAAAAGTTTGGAACGTAGTAGAAGTAGCTACCGTCTGGCTTAGGGTGAATAGCACGCCAAAAGTTAAACATAAGTGTAACTGAGCCATTCATTGAAAATTGCTTACGGACGGCAGAACCCAATACGTCCTGTATCGTCGTTAGTTTTAAGGGAACTTTTGGTCGTGCATCTATAACAAAGACCTGCTTAATCTTAAATTTAACAGACCGCACATTGTGTTCTTTTGAGACGTAAGCTGCCCAATCGTTTAGCCTGTTCACATCGTTCTTTGCTGAGCCATCATTCTTGTCAATTTCTACAATCTTCTGCTTACCATCGGAAAATTTTGACTTGAACTTTCCAAGGTCATGAAGAACATGAGCGTAGATGACGGCAGAAGATGTTTTTGTGATAAATTGTTCAAAACTGGACATCTCAAGGACACTCTTCTTTTTGTTCAAGCACGACTTTATTTTATACTGCAAATTCTCAAAGTCGTAGAAAGTGCTGAGTGGCATGGCCCTGCCTTTTTCTTCTTGTGTTGGGATCCCTTTCAAATAGTTTCCAACAACATACGGCTCAATAGTTGACAAGTCGAGGTAACCTGCCAGAGAGGCTATGTCACCATAGCCGGACAGAGCTCCTGAACTTTGCTGTGCGATAGTCGAAGACAGTAAATAACCGTAGCTACGATTTGTAGAGCCGGATGTTTCGGTGTTGGAGGTTGTATTGGGTGTTGTAGCACCAGCTCCATTCTCGGGTCCGTACCCCCAAGAAGCCGCAGGCTTCACCGGGTCGATGTGTTTCACAGGGCCTCGTTTGACGTTCAGAAAGCAAAGAATAGCTACTACTCCGACGCATGCGACAATCCATATAAACTTCAGTGACAGGGCCGCCATAACTGCCCGCTCCCAGAAATTAATTGGAGCGGACAAGCTGTGCGTGATAGTCTCGTGATAGTCCACCCACCGCCGCGCCCCGTATATTCGCAGCCTGCCGCATAATAGCACTGACCCAACCCTCGGCGAACTGTGCATGCGCGGTATATTATACCGCTAATTGATGGGCTGGGCTATTTGTAGTATGCGTTTACTCGTGGTCTCCCGCTAGTAGCTCGCGGAGAGTCTGACACGGGCTAGGTACAGTAGTAGATAGCATGCGGAAGTCGATACACGCCCTTCGTTGTGACTTCATGTGCCTTCAAGATACACAAATCTAGAGCCAGCGGACCCGGTCGAGGTATATAAGCCAGTGCTGATTAGCATATTGGCTTGTTCACTTGCTTTTCACGCCATAACTTTAGAACGCAGTATTTTCACGAAAATCGCCTTTTAAGCAGGGTAGCTCTTTTGCAACCTAGGGCAGCTCTTTTGGAAATGAGTTGTCCTGGGTGTACATACATGTAACAATAGACCATGTGATGCCAAGAGAAAAAAGAGGCAGAGCTCTGGACAGCTGTTTCGGGCTTGTTAAGCAATGCATACCGCAATTTCTGGCGTCACGAGTTTATAAAGGCAAAGTTGAGCGCAGCACTTGTGGTTTTTAACTAATGAGATTCATCCCCACAAGGCGCAGCGCTTGTGGTTCTGAACTAATGAGATTCACAGTTTGCCTTCGTTTTACCTTTTGTGACTTCGCTGTGTGTGTTTGTGACAAACCATGTGCACATGAGTTTTTTAGACAGAATAAGGGGAAAAATAATAATGGGCAGTAATTTTTGGATTATCATTAATAGGCCAATTTTTAAAATCATAATTGGGACAAGCTTAATCATGACCTACGATTTCTCCTGGTGGATGTAAAGTTAATGTGGCTCGCCTGTCCGGTCCCTAGCTAACAGCTACACCCCTTTTGGTTGTGTGCATGCGCCGCACAGATTGCATGTGTAGATTGAAGTTGGCGTATAATTATGAACATTGCTTTAGGCTCGTTCATCGTTCACTGTACAAGCCAACAAAACACTCCCGTATATACCCTTTGAAACTACTGCAAGGCACAAAATAATATAATACAAAAGCACAAAACAGAACATTGTGGTACTATGAATATTATTAGACCCGGGTATATAATAATCATATAAATGCTAGGACTGTCCACCAAATGAGTTAGAAGGTGGACCTTCGGCTCCGAATGCAAATGTGTTGGGTACAACACTGATGTTGAACTGGTAGCCTCCCTGCTGCTCTATGGCTCGAGACTCTGCAACACATGAACAACAGTAGAGAATGAAAAGCACTGAAGTGCAAACCCTCGGCGCACTGTGTCGCGCACGCGTAAGTAAACGCATGCGCCGTACCACTAATTGATGGACTGGGTTTAGTTTTAGCTGTTACTCGTGGTCTCTTGCCAGCTAGGGCAGAGTCTGACGCGGGCTAACTACACTACTAGATAGCATGCGAGAAGCGATACACGCCCTGCGTTGCATCTTTTGGAGCCTCTGAAGTACGCAGAGCACGACCGCGGTAAGCCATCCCGTCCGTTGCGTATTTGCATATTAGCTTTTTCGTGCTCTAGCTTTGCAACGGAGCATTTTCAGAGAAAACCGCACGTACTTTCTGACCTTCATTGCCCGTTGGGTAGGTCGTATTGTTTGTGAGACGAACAAACACTCGAGAAGTGAGATGTAGAGTAACACACGCACACACACACACACACACACACGACCCAACTACAGTAACCCTCGCTGCGCATGCGCGCCGAGGGTTAATGAGATAACCATGCAGGCCTAGAGAATAAGGTAACCAGGTAGGCAGAGAATAAGTATAACCATGCAGGCCTAGAGAATAAGGTAACCATGCCGGCCTAGAGAATAAGGTAACCATGCCGGCCTAGAGAATAAGGTAACCATGCAGGAGTTCCACACAGGAATTAGCTACACAGAGACAGTACAGGGGCTTCTATGAGTACAAGGAATGAATCTGGCCACCTTCCGATTATTTAGTCCCCCTGAACAAGGTTCTACAGTAAGTGCGATAGGTCAGCACGATTCGTATATATAATTTGTACCCTACTCCCTGAATTATCAAGCACATACTACTGCCTTGTTCAGGGCCCTCCCAGCACACATGCTAACATGTAACCTAAAACCTGTTGTGTGCAGAGCCTGGACATGAGGCACCTCCCGAATCTCCGCCAGACAGCCCCGCCCCAAAAGACACTGTGTGTAGACAGAGAGGAAATGTGTATTACAGTCTCATGTGCAGCGACTCTCTATGTCGCATGGCGAGGAACTCTTGGACCTGAACGTCTGCTCCGAGACAACCGACTGTTCAGTAGAGAGTACCACTCTGGATCCTGCTGCGACCGAGCTGCGGGGAGCGTGAGAGACATTCTCGTGACACGGTGGAACCTCGATCATAAGGGACGCTTCTTACATAGCGGACGACCTCTCTACCAAGGAGCACTTGTTTGAACACCATGCTAATACTTAGTGATAATATTTGACTCTCCGAGCTGAGCTAGTGACGACCTCGCTACAAGGGGCATTGATTCACCCGCATGCCCAATCACATACTTTGTGTTGTATATTAAGATAGGGACGACCTCTCTACAAAGGGACACTTGATTCAACCCAATGGCAATCATACTTTACTGTATTAAAGGACACTAGCTAATGCGGAGAAGAACCAAGTGTCTTATAGAGGAGAGGTGTACTCTATTCGGAGCAGAGGGTATCAGTATCACAGTATACGGGTAGCTTGTTACATACACAGCAACGATAAGTATATATACAGCAGTCTCACTGTGGAGTGTGTTTTTGAAGAGCAAGAACTCGTCCACGACGTCCTCGTCATCAATGACTGTCTCATAGTCTATCTCGGTCAGAGTCTGGGCCATCTCAGAGTCGTCTGACTCACTTTCTCCTCCTCCTCCTCCCAGCTGGACGGACAGAGATCCATTAGGCTAGGTTCACAAAATGTCGCATTGCCCGCCGTGCCGTGCCGCAGGATAGATTCCATTCTATCTACGCGCAGGACGTGACGCGGCACGGCACGACGGGGCAATGCGCCATATTCTGAACCTAGCTCAATGATGCTCTTTACTACATTCAATGTCTTTCGCAGCTGGCACATTAGCAGAGTGCATAACATGATCGTGTCACCTTCATAGCTAGCTGTTGGATGTATTGGTCTCCATGGGGATCCACATGGTCCTCCTCATCATCCAGTTCATTCTCTAGCCACACATACAGCAGAGGGAAGAAGGGTCCATTAAACAGGTCGGTCTGTATAATTATTAGTCTTAATCAGTTTAGTGTGGTCTGGACATACTGTTTGGAAATACTGATTAAACTTCCAAGACTCAAAACTCATTACGACCACGCAAATCTGGGTCTTGGAAATAGAAACGTAGCCAGTATATTCATAGCCTCGTCCCAGGCCCACCCACCCGCGAGGCGAGACCGAGGGCCATGGTATCCACTTCTGAGCATGCGCGGGGTGGGTTATTTGATCGGCAAATGTCGATATAAACCGTGTAGTTTCCGTATATTTTAGTCGTGTGACGCTAACGTCACGCGGAGGAGAGTGGGTGGGGTCAGTCCAGTGAGCATCAAATACAGCGGCACGCGCGACAAGGGCGAGAGCGATCGCGCTCTTCAATACGCCAGCTTGGAACTCAAGCATCACGCCAAAGGCCCGAGCAAAGAAAAGCAGGTAAGAGAGTCTTTCGTGTGGCTGCCCACCGGGTTTGAAAAATCTCTCTGCTACGAGGTTCTTTGCGTTCGTGATGAGACCACAAGCGAGCAGGATCGACTGCGACACACACAGGAAGCCAAGCTACATTGTGACTACTCCACGTGTCTGTTTACGGGATCCTTATCCTATTAGTCATTTACTTTCTATCGAATTATTTGGTCTGGACGTACGTAGTAGTGCGACTACACCCACGTAGAAAATTACGCGCATGCGCAAGCAGTGGATACCAGGCCCTCTCCTCGCGGGTGGTGCCTGGGGAGGAGGCTAGTCTATTTCCTGTACCGCTGCAGACAGCACAAGACTGGAGTAAGACTATAAACACCCCGCCCTACTAAACTAGTAGTACACTCACGAGAATAATTAATACTCATCATCATTATCAACCATCTAGTTGGCCAACTAGAACAAATGCCACGCGAGGGAGTGTAAGCAGTTCAATTTTTCGTGCGTTTTTGGAATAGCGTTCAATTTTTCACGCATCACGTATGGTATGTGCAGTAGTGCCTCATTACATAAAATGTAAATAACTAGCTCGCTTCGCATGCCAATTATAATTAAGGACACATAATATATACATGGAGCTCTTGAGCATTCTATGTACATACCTGATACTTTATTATACAACATATATACCCGAAGAAGACTAAGAACCACGTTTTGCTGTGTTACGCTCCAACATTTTCTATGCTTGACCCAACTTTACTAATGTACCTTCACCATCTTCAGCCATTTCTCCGTCCTCCTCCTCCTCCTCCTCCTCTCCTCCATCATCGGCCTCCTCTGCTGCCAGCTCTGGAGATAGTATACAGACAGGTTACTCAGCGCGATTATGATTTTTCGCTTGTTTTCACGGCATATCCCTCGAACGCAGTCGTTTCAGGAAAATCGCTGTTTAATTTTACAGGTTGGTATAGTTCTGAAGCCATTGGTATCGCTAATAGGCCGCCTCGTAGTGCCAGATAAAGCGTTGACACGCAGACAGACAAACCAACTACTGTAACCCTCGCTGCGCATGCGCGCCGAGGGTTAATGAGACACATACTCTGATAAGAGTCCTTGAGGCCGTCGAGTTGGACTAGAACAGCAGGCACAATCTCTTTAGCCACGGCTACGACAGCCTCTGGTCTCAGGTGAGACTGCATGACCGCACAGAATCCCAGTACTGAGATCTTTCTGTCGTGGATACTGTGGAGGTGGAGGTGATAGAACATGGAACAAACAGGTAAAATAAGATCAAGTGGTGAAGAGGGTGATAATAAAAAAGAAAGAGTATGGTCAAAATATGATATCTTTCTATCGTGGATACTGTGGGGAAAGAGAGGTGGAGGCGACACATTACACAGCAGTGTTTCCCGCAGGGTAATATTCGAACAGGGTGCTTATGAATTATTAATTACTTCAGCTTTCAGGCTGAAAGCTACTCACGTTTCAAAGTACTTCCTGTTGGGAAATCCCCTACTGGCCTAAGCGCTACTCTCTAAGCAGCGCATTACTGAGCACAGTTTTAGTTGCATGCGCAATAATCGTACACGCCCATTTTCGGGATTTCTCAATCCGGGCGGAGCACCCGGTTGTTATAATGCTGCCACAGGTACGTAGTAATCCCTCCACTCATAGTATGGGTAAACAATCGATTTGTACGACAGCATTTTCTGACAGTTGAGTAACACTACAGTCATTATATAGGAGTGAAGAAGTTATGGGATTGTGGAAGAAAGATCAAGTGGTGAGGAGGGTGATTATAATTTTTAAAAAGGGTAAGGTCAAAATGTGATTTTTGACGAGATAATTTGGGGTAAATTTCCTCCTGTTTTCAAACCAGCACAGAAAAAGAAAAAAAACGAATATTACAACAAGTGAGACAGATAGAAAGAAACTAGGGGTTAAAAAATCAGCGGCAGCAACTGCAAATGTACACTATAGGCTAGGTACATTTGTCGTCAACATTAATGAGGTCACATCAAAGAAAAGGCAAAAAACAACCATGTCCTTTAAAAATTGTAGTTAGAAAGTAGTTTACAAGTTAAAAAATTCCTAAAGCTTCGACATGCAAATACGTATGGATGCTTAGGATATTATACTGTACTACTGTATGTATGTAGCAGCATCTGATTAACTGCCTACAGTGGGTGTGTCAGCCGCTCACCCCTCAAGAGGCCAGCGTCGTGATGATCCACTGTCTGAAGAAACTGACACTGCGGTGCAGGGGCTCGGGAGCTGGACGGGAATCTGGTGGTCTCCAGTAGCCCCATCAACTGACTGGAGTTGCAGTACAGAGCTGCTATTGCCTGTGGAGGGGCAGATCACTAAGTATGGCAGTAACTAGACTATACAGTACATCCCTATATGCATCTAAATTCGCAGGATATTACTTGTAAATTGATCCAAAGGGGACACTTAGCCATCTTCCCAGGCCCCCTCTCTCCGCACAATAATAATTATTTGCGTACGACGCGACGAGAGAGAGGTGTCAAAGGTCATAAGCAATAATTGTGCACACAGAGAGAGAGAGAGAGGGCCTGGGAACGAGGCTATAGTGCACTGACCTTTTGCCGCCATCTGTATCTGCATTAAATAAGCAGACTGTATAGCCTAGTATTTCTAACACTCACAGTGCTATACGTTCACGTCTATGGAGGCCTGGTGGACACGAGTGTCTGATGACTGCTAGTGTTAATGAAAAAGAGGAGGAGCAAAACCCTGAATTTAATCGTTCAGCCTGATGTATATATACACCTCTTTCGAATCTTTGTGGTTTCAGGCTGTGCAGGCTGTAAACAGGCTAGAATATCCCCTCAAGTCAGGGCATGCTATACGTGCAGATACAGTTGCATGCTTCTTCCAGCTCGCCAACAAGGCCCTGCATTCACCTACTAGTATGTGGTACATATATACATATACACAACGTACTACTAGTGTATGTGGTACATATATACATATACACAACGTACTACTAGTATGTGGTACATACATACACACAACGTACTACTAGTATGTGGTACATATATACATACATACACAACGTTCTACTAGTATGTGGTACATACATATACATACACAACGTAGTGTTCACATTCACCTTGCCGCCTGAAGTGCACTATTATAGTCAAAACTGTTTACGCAAGGTTGCATCATAATTGCGAATATTTATGGGCAGTGGATATACTCGATGTCACGCATACATGTACGTTCTACATGTGGCTCCGTGAGTTTTTCTAGTAAAGACGGTTTTTGTGACCTTCACACTGCCATTCGCCTCTCATTCTTGCCTTTTCCTTGGCCTGGGCTCCCGCAGTAGCGGTGGGGAGAGAGGGTTCTTGCTTGCGCGCTGCACATCTGCGACACCGCGTGATTGCATTTTTCATGCGTCAAGGAACGGTCGCGTACTTGCTTATGTTGAACATACAAGCTAAGGTATGTGATGCGGCGTTGAGCACGCGCTCCGCCAAAGCAGATAAATAGAACCTACGCTCAACTACAACAACGCTGCGCTTTTAAATTTCGAAGAGAGTATAAAGTAGGTCGCTGCTCTAGGCTACATTTAACGGCAGACTTTCCTTACCGCCAAGCGTGAACTGCGAATAGACTTAGTCTGTGGTACATATATACATATACACAACGTACTACTAGTATGTGGTACATACATATTATACACAACGTATGTGGTACATGTATATTATACACAACGTACTACTAGTATGTGGTACTATTACATAATACACAACGTACTACTAGTATGTGTACATACAATTATCACAACGTATACTAGTGTGGTAAACATATACACAACTACTACTAGTATGTGGTACAATATTAACAACGACACTAGTATGTGGTACATAATATTATAACAACGTACTACTATATGTGGTCATATACAATATACCAACGTACTACTAGTATGTGACAACATATTTACAAACGTACTACAGATGTGGTACATATAAATATACACAAGTATACTAGTATGTGGACATACACATTATACACAACGTACTACTAGTATGTGGTACATACTATATACACAACTATACTAGTATGTGGTACATATATACATATACACAAACGTACTGTAGTATGTGGAGTACATGTCTATTATTACACAACGTATACTATAGATGTGGTACATACATATATACACAAAGTACTACTAGTCGTGAGTACATACAGATTATACACAACGTACTAAAGAGTATGTGGGGGGGGTTTTTTAAAACCCCCAATACATATTTAACAACGTACTACTAGTATGTGGTACATACATATTATACACAACGTACTACTAGTATGTGGTACATACATATTATACACAACGTACTACTAGTATGTGGACATATATACATATACACAACGTACTACTAGTATGTGGTACATGTATATTACACAACGTGTACTATAGTCTGGGGGTCACATATTATACACAACGTTACTAACTAGTCTTGGTACATACATATTATACACAACGTACTACATATGTGGTACAACATAATATACACAAACGTACTACTAGTATGGGTACATACAATTATACACAACTACTAATAGTATGGTAATACAAAACACACACACAAACAACCAAAACACAACAACAAACCCAACAAACAAAACAACAAAACACAACACAAAACAACAAAAACAACAAACAAACAAACAACAAAACAACAAACAAAAAACACAACAAGTGTAGCTAGACTCACAACTTTAGCACATTCTCCTCATTCAAACCGCCTTGCTCCTCTTTTCAGTCTCTCCAGACACACCTCCATTATACTGGGAATGTACTGATATAGACATACACACACAGAGATAATTTGGATACTGGGTACTGTATGCATGCAATAGACATCCACACAGATAATTTCCTGTACTCATATAAGACAAGTTTGAGTCACGAAATTTTGTACCAACACAACCAAAAAAACCACCAAAAACAAAAACACACAAACAAAAAACAAAAAAACCAAAACCACACAACAACACACCCACAAACGGAATTAATGATATAGACATACACACACAGAGATAATTTGGATACTGGGTACTGTATGCATGCAATAGACATCCACAGAGATAATTTCCTTGTTACTTCATATAAGACTAAGTTTTGAGTCACGAAATTTGTTTGTGGTTACCCAATGCATAGTATGCCATAGGTTATGAACATGGGGTTACGAGCTAAGAGAACAATGAAAATGCTGAGGCTAATCTCAAGGACACTCCTCAACTTGATTCAATAACAATTTCAACTCAGCGCTCATCACTCAGTATTGCGTGATGTAACCGTACCACCTTCGCATTTGCCAAACATCTTTACAGGCACTTAAAACCCTTTAGATGCCATGGGTATCTGCTAAATAAGCAGACATTGATGTATAAAGTATAGTGCCTAGTATTATAACCCCCATACCATTATCATGGACTTGTGAGGCTCGGGACACATTTATGAATGTCCTGTGGCTGTGTAAGCGTTAAGATAACAGAGTCCTACACCATTACGTAAAACGACGCATCACTGCTAAACGGCAGCTTCAATGCGCTATGCCCGTCAGAGCTCAAATCAGACGTTTAGTCCGGTGAAAACGCTCTACACTACTGGTGTGACTTACAGCATGTCAATTCTTCCTGCATGTGATGTGACGACCACCTCCAGTAGCTTACAGCATTTGTCTGCCACTATCTTCACGCAGCCTGTGTCAGGACCTGCAGAGATAGCCGAGGGCAACATATATACTACACTGTGAAATACAGTGGAACCTCTGAGAAGGGCCCTCCGATGATAGGGATCGACCCTCTCTACAAAGGACACTTGTTTCAACCCCATGCTAATACTTTAGTGTATTATTGACCTCCGAGATAGGGACGACCTCTCCTACAAGACACTTGTTTCAACCCCCAGCCAACACTTTAGTGTATTATTTGACCTCCGAGATGGGGACGACCTCTCTACAAAGGACACTGTTTTCAACCCCATGCTACATACTTTAGTGTATTATTTGACCTCCGAGATAGGGACGACCTCTCTACAAAGGACACTTGTTTCAACCCCAGCTATACTTTAGTGTATTATTTGACCTCCGAGATGGGGACGACCTCTCTACAAAGGACACTTGTTTCAACCCCATGCTAAACTACTTTAGTGTATTATTTGACCTCCGAGATAGGGACGACCTCTCTACAAGGGACAAAATCGTTGCCCCATAGTGTCCTTGCTTCGGAGGTTCCCCAGGTTTCCACTACTAGATACAGAATAAGAAGAGTGTGTCTGGGGGTGCTCGAGTGGGAAGACCTGTCGAGGACTTGTCAGAGGTGTCCTTATTCAGAGGTAACGCAAATGTATTAGAGTGGGGGGCTGTTGAAACTTGGAAGGAAATACGTAACCGGGAGAAGAGGGTGGGGGACGGCATAGTTTAAAGTTCTATGAGGCCTTGTACCCTTGCTCTCACTGTCGGTACAGTACAACCCTGTTCACGGTCACTTGTAAATTTTAGGGCAGAGGGGAGAGCGTGTGAACAAGCCAGTTCTTCTTTCTTTCTGCAGGCAAAGTACAGCAACAAGCTTCTTGCCTTATACGTACACCAGTGTCCATCTCTTATAACCTCCCTCTCCAAAATTGTGTGGTAGATTTACTTGTACGTAATACGTACCTTTTTGCACATGTGACAACAATCTCCAGTGTTTTGGGTTGGAGAGAAACACGTCTGTATCCACTCTCCCGTTAGTTATAGATAACTCCCATCATCTCTGGACGGAGGAAATCATCAAGTACAAGCAGTAAAATATCTCGAGGAAGGAAGGAAGTAAGAGTGGGACCTGAGAAAAGTCGAATCCGTCTCTGCAGAAGGTGTCGTAGATGATGGGAGGAGTTCCACATTTGAGGAGAGACATGAGGACGTAGTGAACAGGTCCATCAGCGACAGCATCTCCTCAATAGAAATCTAGTCAGTGACAGATCAGAGAGAGAGGAGAGAAGAGACATCAATGCCCGGCTCATCTTCACTAATGCACTTGATTAATGATTAAGGGCGGATACAAACTTTAAAAAGGGGAATGTGTCAATAGTTACCAGACCCATTCCCACGTGAGTAGTGGGTGGAGTCTGTACACGAGACTACTGGAAACTAAGACAATCACCATCACTCCATTCTGAAGAATGGCGGCAATCATGTTGAACATGGTGTTCTCCATCTGTAGTATCACCTGCAAGACAGACACACACACACAGTCACTCAGTGAGAGAACACATACCAAGACAATATGTCCATGTACATCTACGTATATTATATTACATGCATCACGTTTGAGAAAATACCATGTGATGCCAAGAGAAAAAATATGCGGAGCTCTGAACAGCTGTTTCGGGGCTTGTTGGCTCTCATCAGCAGAGCATACCGCAACTTCTCTCTCTGGCATCACGAGTTTATAAAGGCTGCCATGAGCGCAGCACTTGTGGTTTTGAACTAATGAGATTCATCACCACAAGGCATTGCTATGTACACCTACGTACGTACATATTACATGCATCGTGTTTGAGAAATGCACACACCTCTTGCATCAAACGGAAGCGAGAAAATTTTTTTTCACTTTCAAGGGAATCTAACACTCTACAAGAGGGTTACTCCTGTGCATTAGCTCCACCTAGTGTTCTGGCAGCGTGGCCAATGGCCCTGGTACTATGGCGTCTGTTTAAGTGTTATTTCTACAACACACTTTGGTGAGCCGGCAAGAGAGTAACTCACGGCATTAACAATTGCGAAATTTCAATTCCATTTTGCATATTTAGAGGTATGCAAAACATTACGGTATGTGCAAAACTGTTTACAGTCATATTATGTACACTGAATATACAGAAACCCACACAATTATTATCATGAAGGTTGCACTCCTGATAGCATGTATATACAAACAGTACGGTATCATCTCTCTCAACTACCAGTAGTTGTGCATGTACAAACAGTACGGTGTCGTCTCTCTCAACTACCGGTAGTTGTGCATGTACAAACGTACGGTTCGTCTCTCTCAACAGTACTGTGCATGTACAAACAGTACGGTATCGTCTCTCTCAACTACCAGTAGCTGTGCATGTACAAACAGTACGGTATCGTCTCTCTCAACTACCAGTAGTTGTGCATGTACAAACAGTACGGTATCGTCTCTCTCAACTACCGGTAGTTGTGCATGTACAAACAGTACGGTATCGTCTCTCTCAACTACCAGTAGTTGTGCATGTACAAACAGTACGGTATCGGCTCTCTCAACTACCAGTAGTTGTGCATGTACAAACAGTACGGTATCGTCTCTCTCAACTACCAGTAGTTGTGCATGTACAAACAGTACGGTATCGTCTCTCTCAACTACCAGTAACTGTGCATGTACAAACAGTACGGTATCGCCTCTCTCTCAACTACCGGTAGTTGTGCATGTACAAACAGTATGGTATCGTCTCTCTCAACTACCAGTAGTTGTGCATGTACAAACAGTACGGTATCGTCTCTCTCAACTACCAGTAGTTGTGCATGTACAAACAGTACGGTATCGCCTCTCTCTCAACTACCGGTAGTTGTGCATGTACAAACAGTACGGTACCATCCCTCTCAACTACCAGTAGTTGTGCATGTACAAACAGTACGGTATCGTCTCTCTCAACTACCAGTAGTTGTGCATGTACAAACAGTACGGTATCGTCTCTCAACTACCAGTAGTTGTGCATGTACAAATAGTACGGTACCATCCCTCTCAACTACCAGTAGTTGTGCATGTTGTGCAGCAGCCCTTCTCACACTTCTTTCTCTTCCTTCTTTCTATATAATATGTAAGTAAAGCGTGAGCTGTTATTTTACATGTACATATTGGAACACACATACCAAAGTACACACATTTTAATACACGCAATAAATAGCTTTGTATATACATTCTAAAAGAAACCAAGAAACTGTAATTGAAACTGCAATTGCATTCTTGTGACTTCACAGAAAACACAGAAAACCACAACACACAAGCAGAAGCTGCGGTGAGTCAAGGTCTGAAACAGAATGGATCTTTATCCGTCTCCGAGGCACCGTCCTGCGAGGGGAGTGGAGCCGGCGGTCTCGAGTGGGCGGAGTCATGGTAATCAGAAAACCCCACCCACGTATCGCGTACCCTCGGGGCAACTGGGGGAGGACGGCCCCGCGATACCCTCAGTGATTGGACTGCCTCGCGAAGCTCGACGATGGAGGACTCGTACTGCTCACACCTCGACTCCAGTAGAACAAATTTCTCCTTCAGTGCCTGGTGCTCGTCCTCGAGTGCCGAGTTACGCTGCACGAGTAGCATGTACCCCTCTTCCAGGCCGGTTTGGTTCGTGGCAAACACTCGCAGTAGCTCGAGGTGGTCGGAGGTTTTGTCTACGCAATGACGCGGACCGTCCCTAAACTTAAAGACGCTCCGACAACCGAACTGAAAGAACTTGCACTCGACCTGTCGATAGGGGCACAGTTCGTTGACGTGTTGGTCCAATTTGCAGAACTGTATGTAGGGGATCGGGCAGCCGTTGGGACAATCCACAGTACGATTCGGACAGTCGGGGGTGTGCGACCCGCTGCTAGACGCACACCCGTGGCACACGGTGCACTGATTGTGTCGTTTCGGACATTCCCGCGTCATGTGTTTCCTCAGCTTACGTCGCAGAAAAGACTCTTCACAGACAAACGGACACGCCACCAGAATGTACTGGCAGTCCCCCTCCACTTCACCAACGTTGAGATGCAGCTTGATGTCTCGTATTTCCCCTGCCATTTGCAGCCCCGCCCCTCCATCGGGCAGTACACGTCCAGAGCAAATATCCGGTTGCGGAGTTGCCTGTCGAACAGCGTGGAGAAATCGTCCACTTTGCAAATTGGGCACGGTTGGTTCATGTCCTGGATTGGTTGATAATTACAGTTAATGGTCACATATTGTACATCACCGACCCAGTAATAAACACTAGATTATGTACACTTCAGCTGGGCTCCATTTGTGATAGGTGCTACGTACATACATGATGTACTACACAAAGGGGAGCAAGCAGCAACTCTGACCTTTGTGGGTATAGTATACTACATGTATATACATGCAGCAAGAGTTCGAATCCCACTCGTAGAGAAGATTTTCTTTTCTTTCTACCTTTCTCTCTCTCTTTCTCTCTCTGCACTTTTCACCATTCTGAGCACTCACGCACGCTTACATCACACATGTAATACAGTACGTAACGCTATTGTTTGTATAACTGCAGCATCATAATTATGGAGAAAGTTACCTTAATGCGGGCAATGCAGGAGTGGCAGTAGTGCTGGCCACAGCAGGAGGTCAGGTGGGGGTCATTCATCACCGACAGACATATCGGACAGGTGCAGTCCTCAGGTGCATAGTCATGAATCTCACATCAAACCTTGCTTGCGATGCTGGAGTCGACGAACTACTAGTACCACTGACTGCCATTAGCTGCACTTTAGCCTTTATGACCGGAGCAGCAAAAGGTTGTTCAAGCAATTTGGAACGTGTTGATCGTAGTAAAAAAAATGGAGGAAAAAATTTGGAAGGGGTTTATTGTTGTTTTACGATCACGTCTCCTTTAGGCAAGGATTGGGAGAAATGCTGGAAGAAGATGCGCCCAGAATCAGCTCTACTCGTATTATTTTTCGTCTTTGATAATCGTCTGAAGCAGCGAGAAAGATAGGTTGTTCCTTGCATGAAGATATCACTGTTACTATACTATATTGCAAAAGCGTAGTCTGCCTCACAGTCACTGCAACCTGCAGTCGACTACCTTCAGCATTGATTTCGTGACAGAAGAACGTAGCTCGAATTCCGTTCTCTTCTCGATGCACACCAACTTATATACAAGTCGCTGATCCAAAACGAGAGAGAGCTTGCAGAGTTTTTATCTTTTATTGCAGACTCCGACTGTGCTGCTGCTACACTCTGTAGTACGTATTACAGCTTCAGGATTCTCACAGAAGCCAACGTCAAAAGCACAGGAAACTGATCGGTATACTGACTTTCACTGTATATCCTCCAGAGCACAACAGTGGCAGCGCAGAGTCTATTATTGGACATCCACGTTGTACCAACCAGCGAAATTATTTTGTGACCGCAAGCCACCAGGTGCTAGGTAACAACCTTGGCAGCTTATTTTATACCGAATTGAGGCAGATATAAGGTTGCAGCATATGACTACATTCGGTTATATAACATGTGCATGCTCAGCTTTGTAAAACAGTGTATACAGAAGCACTGCACATGGGGGAGCTGTATGTATGTATGTAATGGGTTTACACATTACGTAAGTCTATTGTACATGTACACTGTATATAAATGGGTCAGGGACACAATAATGGCTTGCTTTGTCCAGTAAGTGGATACTGTTCCACTGTAAGGCTGCCGTTTTGAATCCCTAACAACAGCACTTCTGTATGGCATGGGGGGGCATCCTCTAAAGAGCTCTATGTTGTTGGATGAGGTTCCAACAGCCCTTACACAACACAGGTTCATATGTATGTATGGAGGCGGGCATCACTATCATGGCTTTGCACAGTAACAGTATGTAGTAAGTATTTAAAGCTATAGAAGAAAATCAGCTGCTATGTATAAGTGGGTGTATAAGCTAAAACTGAGCAGTTACTTTGAAAGTGTTTGTATGAAATATGTATCCTTTTCATTAAAAACTTTGATGAATAAATCGAGAAAAACAGTTTGTGGCAAGACAAATGGTGGGTACGAGTTTTTGCCATAATGACAATGCAACTCATTTTGCCCAGTGAATACGAGCTGTGGGCATTACACGTGTAATATTTCAGTGTATTACGGTAATGGTGACAGGGTGTAGAAAAATTCCCGCATTCAGATGACTAGTAGACTCACTTCCACTTGCTAATCGAGAAAAATGGTAGGTAAGAGCGTGATATGGAAAGGGTTAAACAAATGTGGAAGAAATTGTGTGTGGAGCATGGATTGGAACTGATTTTGGGGCAATTATGAAACCATAGGTAAATATCTTGGAAGTCAGTCATGTTAAACACTACACAAGGCACACTATTCTATAGTTAACCCTCGGCGGGCATGCGCAGCGAGGGTTACGGTAGTCGTTCTGTGTGTCTGTGTGTGTATCTGTCTGTCTACGACTATTCTTGTACTACAGGCTACGAGGCGGCTTATGAGCGATACCAACAGCTTCAGCGGTACATGGGCTAGAAAAGTAAAATGGCGATTTTGCTGAAATGACTGCATTCGAGAGCGACAAACTGACACGGTCGCGGACAGCGTTGCGTGGCCCAACCCATCAATAAGCGGTGCACATGCGTGTATTAGACGCGATCGACGCAGTATGCTGGCTCACCTCGACCAGATCCGCTTGCTCTGTGTACCTTGGAGGCACATGAAGCCACAGCGAAGGGTGTGTATCACACCGCATACCGCATGCTACGTATCTACTACTGTAGCTAGCCCGTGTCAGACTATCCGCAAGCTACTAGCGGGAGACCGCGAGTAAACGCCAATAGCCCAGCCCATCCATTAGCGGTACCATTAGCGGTAATTATCACTTTCACTGGAAAAATTGTAGGTAACAGCATGATATGGAATGGTTATGGAATAAACACTGCGTGGAGCAAGGATTGAATTGGACCTGACTTTGAGGCAATTATTCAACCATTGGTGGATATCCTTATGTTCAAAGTCACGTGGAACACTACACAAGGCACCACACATCTCATGTGTTACGTGTTGTATGGTATAGAGGAGACGCACCCTGCAACGTTTTTATGGCACTGTATGAACACATGTGTAATGTTAACTCATTAGCAGCTATTATTATGGACACACGTGTAAAGTTAACTCGTTACTCGCATTAGCTGCTATTATTATGGACACACGTGTAAAGTTAACTCGTGACTCACATATTATAGTACTGTGCTATACCCGTGCAAAAGGCAGTAAATTTCCATGTACTGTACACCCGTACGTATAAACTTATCTTACACTGAAACACCCTAGCCTGACCAAATGGGGAAGGAAAGGGTAAACAGATGCCACGTTGAATATCACGTGTGACACATGACACAATAATATGATCTCTTTGAAGTTAAACGGCCTCCTATATATGTATGTAGTTAAGGCAGAAGGATTATGGTGTGAATAACCACTTGCAACTTCTCTACTTCTCTGTTCGATGTAAATACTGAAACCATTTTTGATGAATCACACACACGCACATTCAACTCTTACAATCCAGTCTTAAGAACACAATGGTATGTTGTGATAGTGCTAGTGGCGGGATATAAATAGAAAATCCTTCATTCAGACGACAAAGTTAAGCCCGTTCCCTTTTAACAATGCAATGTACGGAATTTTAGTGAGTGCGCATCAATAGAGTGCAACCGCTGAGTCACTTTAGGTGACATCGAACCTCAGCCGGACTTCATCATGGACAGGAAGATTTTAAGCAAGACATGCAGATTAGGAGGTACAATTCGAAGAAGAAAGCTACGTATCCGTTTTAGTGAATATGAACTTTGCACACAAGATCATATATATTCATTACGGCACAGAGAGATCGTATATAGTATGACTGGTCTTATTTCCCAGAAATAGCAGAGACCCTGTGCACTGTGGGTGTATCTATAGCGCTGCATTATATGGGGTCAAAATTTATACATGTTCCAAAAGACGCCGTAACCAGTGTACTGATTCTCTCCATGTGCACACACTAATCCAACCAATTACGGTTCTCAATGTAGGCCTTCGCGAAAGTCCACACACAGCTCTTCCTTTTCACAGAATAGAAGAAGATCTGCCCTGGTGGACGTGCCAACCCACGACACTCTGCAGTCTAGGCGAGGCTCTACCACTGAGCTACCAGCAACTCAGCTGGTAGGGGTTCGAATCTACAACACAACACAAAGGCACACCTCAAACCATGTAATACACAGAGAATGCGCAGTGATTCCCCACGGCTAGGGCTGTAATTAGATACTGTAATACCGCACATTCACACTTACACTGTAAGTCTGTTCTACTGCAACTAATTGTCGCTACCATAGTGTTATGTACATACATACATACATACTACATTGTAGGGAGAGTAATGTGGGAGGCAGTAAGTTGAGGGGGAGAGAAGTCTATTCCTTCCGTGCATGAACCCTTGCAGACTCATTAGTATTCGTAGGTCCTGTTGCAGTAGAACAGACTTACAGTGTAAGTGTGAATGTATATTACAGTATCTAAGTCACATCAGCCTAGCCCTGGGGATCACTGCGCATATCTCTGTGGTATTACATGTTTGAGTGTGCCTTTGTGTTGTGTATATGTCGATTCGAGACCCCTACCTACCAGCTGAGTTGCCCTGGTAGCTCAGTTGGTAGAGCACTCGCCTAGACTGCAGAGTGTCGTGGGTTGCAATCCCACCCAGGGCAGATCTTCTTCTATTCTTTGAAAAGGAAGAGCTGTGTGTGGACTTTCGGGAAGGCCTACATTGAGAACCATAATTGATTGGATTAGTGTGTGCACATGGAGAGAATCGTTACACTGGTTACGGCATCTTTTGGAACATGTATAAATACACCATAATGCAGGCTATAGTACACACCACAGTTACAGGGTCTCTGATTTTCTGGAAAATAAGCCTGTCATAATTTATAACGATTCTCTGTGCCGTAATGAATATATATGATCTTGTGTGCAAAGTTCATATTCACTAAAACGGATACGTAGCTTTCTTCTTCGAATTGTACCTCCTAATCTGCATGTCTTACTTAAAATCTTCCAGTCCATGATGAAGTCCGGCTGAGGTTCGTGGTATGTCCACCTATAACAGTGGATCTCACGCGTGTTTCCTGCACTCTTATTGATGCGCATTCACTAAAATTTCGTACATTGCATTGTTACAAAGGGGAACGTAGCTTAAACTTTGTGTCTGAATGAAGGATTTCTATTTATATCCCGCCACTCCCCAGCACTATCACAACATACCATTGTGTTCTTTATTAAGACTGGGATTGTAAGAGTTGAAATGTGTGTGTGTGGATCATCCAAAAATGGTTTCAGTATTTACATCGAACAGAGAAAGTAGAGAAGTGCAAGTGGTTATTCACACCATAATCCTTCTGCCTTAAATACCATACATATATAGGACGCCGGCCGTTTAAACTTCAAAAGAGATAATTATTGTGTCATGTGTCACACGTGCTATCAACGTGGCGTCTGTTTACCCTTTCCTTCCCAATTTGGTCAGGCTAGGCTGTTTTCAGTGTAAGATAAGTTTATACGTACGGGTGTACAGTACATGGAAATTTACTGCCTTTTGCATGGGTATAGCACAGTACTATAATATGTGAGTCACGAGTTAACTTTACACGTGTGTCCATAAT